GAAGTAAGCGGAAAGTTAGTTGAAGCCCCTTCTCCCTCTGGAAAAAACAAAACAAAAACCAGGCAGAAATCTTGTAAAGGCAAAAGTATAGCAGGACATAGTACAGCTATGAAATGTAAACCAGACTAAGAAAACAAAAATCTTCCTTAATCTTAATTACAAGCAGATTATTTCTTGATCTCAAATTTCACTACTTGTGAAATAGTAATATTATCAACCAACTTTAGTAGATTGTTTGTGGAGTTAAAGGGGATCACAACTCCATTTCGAAGTCTTATATACTATCTAATGAAAGATTAGAATTTGATTGTGGGTACGAGAAACCAATTAAAATATTCTCAGAAGAGAGAGGTGGAGGCAGAGGGGCTCTGTTAAAATAACTACAAAACCATAGAGCAGATATGTGAAGAAATGAAGTATTATGTATACATGTGCATAGGTGCATATGGATATTTGCATATGGATAAATCCCAGACTAGATTATTTGAAAACTGGTGTCGTCAGCTTGGGCTATGGATGTCACGGGTTGTTTGTTGTTAAATGTAAAAAAGGAAAAATCTGTTTAGAAGAAGAAAGCCTGATGATGATGATGATGATGATGATGATGATGATGATGATGATATATTATTTATGTGAATCATAGACAAAATAATGGTGATACAAAATCTTGCAGGAACAACAGCAAGCACCACTTCATAGCTGGAAAGTATAGCCATGTGGGCGTCCAGAAAGTGCCAAATATCCAACTCTCCCTTGCCCACCTTCCTTTGGGCCAAAATTCCAAACTGGCTTTGTCTCAAAGTAGCTCCATGATGAGCCGGAAAGACGGGACTGGATTGGCGAGAGATCCTAGAGAAAGGCTTGGATTGGTGAGGGAAATCGCCGTACAAGAAGCAGACGGGGAATAGTAAGGAGGTAAGAAAAGGGGAACAAGGGGGAATAAGCAGTTTTTGCAGTATCGAAACCATCGAGCTTCCGCCTGGATGCCTCGTTGATGGTAGAACCTGGACAGCTCCCCTTTTGAACGCGCAGGAGGGCTTCACGTCCTGCCCCGCAACCTTCAATTTCCCAAAAGGGCCAGAAACGATAAATGCGAGGAGGGAAAAGAGGAGGCAGAGGAAGAAAGAAAGAAAGACACAGACACACACACACACACACACACACAGAGAGAGAGAGAGAGAGAGAGAGAGGGAGGGAGGGAGGGAGAGAGAGAATGCAGACAGCCACATTCTCTTTTGTAAAGCTTCAAAATGTCCACGTCCTCAAAAAGAATGGAATCAATTTAACATTCCCACCTCCTGCCCGGCCCCTTTCCTGCAAGCAACCCACCTCCCCTTTCCCCTTCTGCCTCCCCCGCCATCATCATCGAGGCGTGCGCTCTCTCCTTGCGCCTCCTCCTTCTCCCCTTTCCAGCTCCAGATCCCAAAGTAAGGAATAGGTTAGAAGGGGGGGCAGGTCACGTGATGACCACGGTTCGTCGCAGCCCACCCTCACCCACTAGCCAGTTTTGCTAATCTCCCATTGGCTGAGGCGCGTTCCACGGCTTTGCCGGAGCACAGAAACTCCTGCCATATAAATAGGGCCACCGAGGGCTTTATTATTTTAGCATCCCGGGCAGCAGGTTTCTGCTAAGTTTGGAGTTACGCGCCCCACGACTGTATGCCTGCGTCCCTTAGGTAAAAGCTCACCATCGACACCCAGGGACTCAGAAACACAAGGAGTCTGCATGTCTAGCAATTAGACATGCTCAGCTTTGTGGATACACGGATTTTGTTGCTGCTTGCAGTAACTTCATGCCTAGCAACCAGTCAATGTAAGTGCCTTTGGGTCTTATTTGCAATAGGGTGGGGAGCGGGGAAATTGAAGAAAAGAAGACTGACTTGGGGTTGGACTACTGAAAAAACTATTTCGAATAGTTCTGGCCATATCCCACCGGTGGCTCCCCCCCCCCCCAACACTATTTGCCCTGGTAAAGCGCCATTCGGACAGGCTGCTCTAGTATAAATAGTTGGGATTATGTCTATGGAGATTCTCACTCATCCAGGTCATGGTTGTCCCAAAGGTGCTTTTTTTAAAAGAGGCAATTGGACTTTCTGGTTTTTCTTTGAAGACGTTTTGCTTCTCATCCAAGAAGCTTCTTCAGACGAAGAAGAAGCTTCTTGGATGAGAAGGAAATGTGTGCAAACAAAAACTAGAAAGTCCAGTTGTTTCTTGAAAAAGCACCTTTGGGATATCTTAATTATCCCTTTTGCAATGATTAAAATTGACAAAACGCCTTCTTGCTTCGGACCGACGCAAAGAACAGTTTAAATTGGTTTAAAACGTACTGAATTTTTCCTCCTGCTTTTCTTGGCTTAGATCAAGAGATCCTGGCCAAAAGCCAAGAAGACACCCCCCCTCCTCCTCCTCTGGTTTAAGAAAGAGAGTTGGAACATAAAAGGGAATCCAAATCAGAAGTAGGAATAAAAAGAAACGACTTGCATTTAGATTAACTTGCACAAACAAGAACTCCTAGACTATTTTTTAGAGAAATGTTAACATTATTGTTCATCTTCCTTATGCCATGTAAGGAATTTAGAAAACAAGAGGTGACCAAATGTTTAAGAACAGTTCGCCTTCTAGGGCGTTGTACATAATCTTTACTGAAGATGCTGAAGATGCTCTAAGAGCTCCCTCTAGGGGAAAAAAGGGGGCAGGGCAGGTAAGAGTGTAAGTATCCCTGAGCTTGTAAAGAATTTAATTAAGAAAATTTTGTTGAATGTAATGTTCCTAAACAAGGAAAGGGCTGTCAGCAGTCCTTTCAGGGTATTTTTTTTTCTTGTAAAGAAAGAACATTCTTTTAATAAAGGGCCACCAAGTAAAAGTGTTTCCTAATGTTTTATCAGAAACCCAGTTTATATGGTGGACGGATATTCAAGTAATTACGTTGTATGAACCTCAGAGATTGATTTTACTATAAGATTTTAAATGGTTTTATAAATAATATTCTAGCAAATAATATTAATAAGCAGTATCTTGTTTTTAGTAAATTATGGAAAAACAATAAAATTTGATACTAGCAATTATTCCCCGATTAATTTCAGAAAGTCAATATCTACTTCCTTATCTTGGTACAGTAAAATTAATGTTAATTTATTGAGGTCTCCAACTAAACTAGCATGGATTTAAATTTTGGGTTGCCATGTCCAAACAAAATTTTAACGAAGTATAACTTCTATCTTCTATGGGCCTCATTTCTAGTACTGTAGGCAAACATCAGAGTTACTGCATAATTCAAAACTTGTCAAAGCAGTCAGTTTAGGTCTGCATGCACAAATGTTATGTTCCTGATGCTAACACATCCATTCTCCAATTTTTATATTTTAAAAAACACTTTTCATTTTGAATAATGCAGATCCTAGCTCTGCCCACAATTGGCCTTATTTGGCTTAGTTGACTGAGGAATATCTGAGAATTCCTGGACTATAAGCGACACCAGAAAATTTGGAGAAGAAATGGCAAACTATTTCCATACTTTTGCCAAGAGATTTATATGGAAGCAGACCCAAGCAGCTTTAGTTTGTTTTGGAAAGAAGACTGCCATGTTTTCAAGAAGATAATTAGATCTGGTGAAATCAACTGGCAGTAAGAGATTCTGCAAACTCTACAGTGTTGAATAACTATTCAACATTGCAGAGTTTGCAGAATCTCTTACTGCCAGTTACTTACTGCCAATAAATATTCAACACTGAATTCAGTAGTAATTTTTTGTGTTTTTTTAAATGGCAACATTATCAGTTTGCTTCAGTTTTACAGTATTACAGGTAGGTCTATAGGATGCCCTCTAGTGGCAAGGAGAAAAAGTGACTTTTTCCAACCAATTAGTATTTCTTTCTACCATTTAGTTCTCCTTCGCTTAAGGTTTCACCTCCAAGCATCAGCTTTTCAAAAACAATATGTAACTTTATTCAGACACCAGACCTAAACCATAATTACAATTTATCCTTTCACCAAAGTAATTATATATATACTTGAGATAATAAGAATTTGCTAAATTAGTTACTTCCGCTATGAAGCAATAATCTGATTCAAATCAGTCATCAACTTTAAGCACAATACTGTAGTAATGTGCCAGCATCACTATTAAATTTTATAATAATAACAATTACACACTTGAGGAGAGAGAAGAATGATAGGTTTTTCTTTCAAGAAGTTATCTGAAGTGTAGAATTAGGCTGTCAACCTAAATAGACTTACAATGTAATTTTACAAGCATTTTCCTGGAATTACATACTACAGAACTCAGTGGGCTTACTTCAGTGAATGACCTGCCAAGAAAGGCCCATTGAGTACAATTCATCTTATTTCTGAGTAAGTAAGATGCCTGAGCATTTTTTGAAACTAGCTACCTAGTATTGATTCTCTTTGAGTAACTAAACAGAATTATTTTGAATAACCTAACACGATGGGTTCATGATGCATCAATACACATGTGTTGATATAGATTTGGTACATAGCATTGCAAGATTCCAAGGGATCTCTTGTCATGAGAGACCTCATTTTTTTCAGTAATCCAGGTTTAGCTTTATATCACCCAGTAGCCAGAGACAAATGTGTGGAAAAATAAATTGTTAACAATGTATATCAAAACAAAGTATATCAAAATATAGTTTCTTGTAGTTCCAATTTTTATGCTAAACTGGGATTTAGCTATTTAATTATAAAACAAAAGCCCAAACAAAGGAGCAAAACCAGAATGTAGACATTTCAAACACATTAGATGACAATGAAGTTTAAACAGCATGGGATCTACTTAGAAGTTTTGTACAAACTTAGATGGATTTCGTTATTGAAACAATTGGCATCTCCTTGATGCCACATCACAATCTACATCTGGAAAGATAATTTGGACAAAAGTCAAAACCAATTGGCTTTGGGAATCCTGGCCTTCATATGCCTGGAAAATGTGGTGTGAAGTTGTTTCCCAGTTTTAAAAAAAGTATTTAAAAAGAAAATAATATGTAAATGTTTGCTAAATCTCAGTTCCCAAAGTTACTATTCTGCAATCATCTTCAATTTTGTTTTCATATCTGAAAGTGAAAGTGAAATAATACTGTGAGCAGAAAAGGACTTTTCCGTGTTTAACAAAATTAGTTCAATGTTATGCAAAGAAAGATAAATATCTTTTTTGAATTATATCACATAAATATTACCTAATGAATTTTCTCTATCAACATGATTCTAGCACCAGAAAAAAAAGTTCATGCAATCCAATTCTGAATGACCCAAAAAAAATTGGTTTCAATGCATCTTTCCTTTTACCTCAAGCTCTCTGGAGATTTTTTTTTTTTTATTTAGTAATAGGGTTTATATATGTTCAGGTTTTATAGTATAAGAAAACTCAGGACCCACCTCAGTTTATGAGTTTCTATGGAATTTCGAACATATTTTTTGTGTTATAATACATTTTATTAAACATATCAATTGAATCAAAATCCTTTGTCAGCAATAAACTGCAAAAATCAATTCTAAATAAGCTTTTTCTAAAAAAAAAAGACATGACATATTTGTATTTCCTACAATCATGCATGTAACAGTGTAAAATGCAGCACTTCAAATGCAAAACAATTTGCAAATTAATATTAATCATCTGTTTCTTCTTGTTATTTTTTTCCAGATGTAAATGAGGTCAGTATAATTATATTAAAATACTATAGAGCATAACATAGAAACACCAGACAATCTCTTTTTGGAGGGGGAGCATGGCCATTTACTAACTACTGTTTTCAAAACGTGCACGGGTAAGCTAATTACTAGGTTTCATGGGTATTGCCCCAAATACACCCACCCCTAATTTCCAGTGGGCTGTCCTTATAATTAAAAAAAAAGTACTTTCATAGGTGAATGCAAGAGTCACATGCATGCATCTGATATTTCTTGCTGGATTTTTGTCTAGGATTATAAAGCATGAATGAATTCAGGTATGCTTTTTAATAATACCTAACTTTTGTGACACTAATTTTTCTATCTTTTCAAATTTGAAATAGATTAGGCTTCTTTGTATGTAATAATGATTAATTCTAGCATCTAGAATGGAACATTAATAATTTAATACTTTACTTAAATTAATTTTTATTTCTTTCTAGGCAACGGAAGTACGGAGGGTAAGTAATTTTAGAAACGTCTTATATAAGAAATATAGATTAGATTAAAGGGCAACTAATGCAGAAAAATAGAATTGGTACAAATAAGCCCTTTTAAAGTGTAAAATTAGACTCAAAGCAATTTAAAGTCAATCCAAACACAGAATCAGAATTTGGAAGAAAATATGTTTAATTTTGAGTGGGTATATTTAAATGGGTATACTTAAAGATGATTTGATTTCAGAAGTTGTGGGGGGCCCATCATTGGAGTCTTTCAAGAAGAGATGAGACAGCTATTTGTTTGAAATGGTATAGAGTCTCCTGCTTGTGCAGGGAGTTGGATTAGATGACCTTCAAGGTCACTTCCAACTCTGTTATTCTGTTAAGCTACTATTAAGATTCATATTTAGTCTCATGTGGTTTCTCTCAAACAATTGTTGATAAAAACACTCTTCATTGAAACTATGTTCCAGCATGAAGAGTGGGATTTCTGATGTATTAGCGTCCAATAATACGTGGAGCATAGCTGTAATTATAAGCATATAATTAATAATTTAAAATACTAATTTAATTTAATGATTTAAAAATATTTCTAAGGAATATATTCAATTGCTTTAAAGATTAAATATGCAATAAATGAACACCAGATGTCTAACAATTGGCACTTCCTAGTAAAAAAGTAGAAATTTACTCATATGTATTATACCTCTCCATTCATTTTTACAAAAAATTATAAGTAATCTATTAGTTTGATTCTTGAATTAAGTCTTCTCTTGATAGATTGAGAACTGTCTTTAGTAATACTAAGAGAGTAGCTTTTTAACCTATTACATGTTTAATATCAGATAGTTATTATTAATACTGTATTATTCTGTAAATAATTATTTGAAGGTTAATTTCTAATTAATATTTTTTATTTATGTTTTTTCAGGGTCCAAGAGGAGATAAAGGGCCACGAGGAGAAAGGGTAAAGATTGTATTCCTTTGACTGTATAACATCTGCATCATTTTGGTTCAAATATGAAAAAATATAATCATCTGCCCTATGGAAATCCCTAGAATGACAGTATTAATATTGCATCTGATTCACATTTCCAAAACTGTGTCTTAATCATGTATGTATGTATGTATGTGTACATATATACACATATGTGTACATATACACACATGCGCTTTAAATATCTTGGCAGAATTGGATCAATGCTATATAAATGAGGCTTCAGCCCCCTTCACTGAGGATTTTTAATGGCACTAAAATAAAGGCTCTGGTCTACCTAAACACTTGTTTTGGCCACCTGTCTTTTAGCTAACACCTATAGCCCTTCCCATTAACTCTTGCTACACAGATGTATTTGTATGACTGTATGTTTCCTTATACAAGTCACTTAAATACAGTTGTTCTGTGTAGATTGGAATGAATTTGTTTGGGAAAGCAGGTATAATTTAGGAAAGCACATAGAGATCTGAAAGGAATATTCAATTTTATGTCAAAACTGGGACAGCAGATGTCTTCATTTTATAGTTTGAAAAGTCAATGACACAACTTTATTATTCACAAATCCTATATCAATCCTATATCAGGATTTTTCAAGGAGTTTTTACCAAAACTGCACTTGCAGATTATTTTTACCTATGGGGAAGGTTTCTATTTGCTATAATTTAATTAATTAATAGAGGTTCACAGGATGAACAAAAATATAAAAGAATTAGATACATTTCCATACAAAAATTACTAAAACTATCACTACAGAATTCACGTTATGGTGACAAAGCCTCACTTTTCTTTAGCATACATTCATAATGTTCTTTAGTTCAAAATGCATTAAATGCAGAAGATAGATATGACCCCGGGGTTAATTAGTGGCATCCCCATTATGACAGAAAAAAGGTCATATATAAAACTTTTGACAGCAGCTTCTGCCAGTCACTGTCAATATTACTAGGCTAATATTATCAACTGTTGTTCACAACTAATTCAGTTTAAAGCAGTTACCTTTTTCCCTTGAGATTCTGTGGTTTTAATGTAACTGCAGTATCATTAACATAGATACCATAGTAATTTGGGAGACACTATGAAACTAGTCTAATTTTGCTTGCCCAAACTAGATTGTAGCTCATCTCTATGATATATTTCTTAGGCCAGTCCTCCTACACATGGTATCTTCTTATGTTTTTGACTCTCATAGCCACCAGCAAGTAAAATAGGAGTTTTATTCCTAACATACTTGGCTAATGATTGATATATAGAATAAACTTCATATTGTAAAACAACAAATTAAGAGAGTAGCTCTTTGTCACACATTAAATCACACATATTTTAATCTCTAACTCTGTATGTGTTTGTGTGTGTGTGTGTGTGTGTGTGTGTGTGTGTATTGTACATGGCTTTCCACTATAGTATGATACTGGTATATATCCAATATCATATAGGTACATTACTTGCTACATGCAATGTTAAACTATGATACAACATAAGAAGGTAATATGTCTAGGTTTTCTATATCAATCACCCTCAATCCAGTACCTTTCATATGTATTAAGAGTGCAGCTCCCATAATTCCTAATTAGCACAGAATTCTAGCTATTAGTCTAGAATCATTCATGGTATGGTATGTTCATAATTTTAATTAGCTAACATTGAAATATGCACCAATGTTTGGCACTTCGTAAACTAAGTGTAAACTAATAATATTTGTATTCATGCTATACAATCTACAAAACAATTACCCAGAAGGAACTTGACAACAACTCTTCTTCCTCCAAGTTTAAGAATATGTGTTACCAAACTTTTTGAGCTGGAACACGCACTTAGTTTAATGGGTCACATCAGAATAGATTTAGTGATGATAATATGCTATGGGAATATTTTAGCTTAACATTCCATCAGGATTTTTTTCCCCCTGATGAGTTTCTTTCTTGAAATGCTAACTGTAAAAGTAGACATATTTCCCAAGTTTTCCAGACATCATGATTCTGTCTGAGCTGGAAGTCTCAGTGTTAAAATTAACAGTCTGCTGGAAAGTCTTTCAAATCAGTACCACCTTATGCAGTGCAGATACTGCAGAGTTGCAGCATAAATTACTAAGGATCTGAAAACACCATAGTATTATTTTGTAAGTCATTTTTAGTCCATCAGACAATACAATGATATTTGTTAAGTTCTACTTTAAGTCATGTTTAGTTTAAGAGAATATTTGTATACATTCAGCCTCTCCTTTTGAAATAAAAGTTGGACATTGTTCATTGATATGCAGAAGTCTATTAAGTTCTCTAAATGTGATATTATTCAGCTCCCTATCAATGTACACATTTATTAGTAAATAATGCTGTAATTATTAGTTAGCCAAATTTTCAATGTGTTAAGATATAATTTTCATTTATTGTGGCAAACAGAGATCATGAAAGTTAATTCATGATGGGCCTGGTAGCTCAGCAGACTAAAAAGCATTGTGATTAACACCAGCTGTCTGCAATTACTGTAAGTTCGAATCTCACCAGGCTCAAAGTTGACTCAGCCTTCCATCCTTTCTAAGGTAGGTGAAATGAGGACCCAGTTTGTGGGGGCAATAAGCTGACTTTGTATAAATATACAAAAGTATGAAGGCTATTGCTTAACGCATTGTAAGCCACCCTGAATCTCCGGAGAAGGGCGGCATATAAATCAAAATTAAAAATAAAAAAATTTTTTTTTAAAAATAATTCAATATTTGATTAAATGTTTTAATAGGCTTTTGTTAAACTAACAAGATTGAGTAATATTAATCAGCTAATAGAATACACACTATTTTTATTAGCTATGAGCTTTATCAGTGGAAAGTACAATTTATACAAGTAGTCCCCAACTTACAAAAGTAAGTTTTGTAAGTTTTGTAAGTGAAAACAGTGACAAATGACCATTTTTCACATTTACGACCATTGTAGCCTCCCATGGTCACATGATCAAAATTCAGATGGTTGGCAGCTGACTCATTATGGTGGCAGTGCCCTGGGGCCATGTGATTCCCTTTTGTGATCTTCTGACAAGCAAAGTCAATGGGGAAGCCAGATTCACTTAACAACCATGTTAACAACTGTTAACAACTGCAGTGATTCTCTTAACAACTATGGCAAGAATGGTCATAAAATGGGCAAAATTAACTTAACAACTATCTCACTTAGCAATAGAAATTTTGGAATCACTCATAAGTCAAAGACCACCTGTATTCCTGCTGTTATAGATGAAATATCTATGATTTTGTGGGAGCAGGCCAATTTGCTCAAATATCTAAGAGGTAAATTATCTTCCTCTTAAGTGACACTTAGGAATGAATGCACATAAATTGCAGGGTCAAAAGAATATATAGAGCTGGCTCATTTACTTACATCATGATAGTTAAAGATTATAAGATGTCCAGGTGTTATCTTCATAATTATTCCAGTTTCTAAAGTAATAGCCACAAAATGAGTTCAAATTATATATTTCAAATTCCTAGAGCGTTTTCCTTTTGTCCTGTTGCCTGAGAATTGTGGGAAGTGTAAAACAAATGTATCTGGAAAAGATTGATGTCAAAACTTTCCCAAGATAGTGGGAATGTTTCTTTTTCTTATGCCCTGGCATAAGCCATCCTAAGTTTGAGACACCTATTTATATATAGTTTTAAGTGATATCAAATACCCACATAAAATTATCCATGTCTCTAGGGATTCAGTCGAATAGTTACACTCATTTACTTGGGAAGCAATTTCATTGGTCATAGTCTTACTGCTAAAAAATCATGCCTGGGATTGCATCCCTAATCTTCCAGTTTCCTTGAAGTATAATGTAACATGAAGTTTGTAACTTACAAAAGCTAAGGGACAGACTTTTTGTGCTGAGCAATATAGCATGACATCTATGAGTCTCCCCTAGGTTTTTTTTTTCTTTTCTGTTTTGCTTTGTTACTGATTACTGTAATATATTTTTCCCCTAGGGTCCAGCAGGTTCACCAGGCATAGATGGTGAAGATGGTCTACGAGGTCCTCCAGGGCCCCCTGGACCTCCTGGTATTGGTGTAGTAAGGCTTCCAACTTTTTATTTTACCGACAATGCATCTAATGTCTAAGGATAAATATTTATATAATACCAAAGAAGTGACAAAAAACTTCTTTTGTGACTTCTTTTAAAAGCAGGAAGTATACATTTAAATGCATCTTTTCACATGTATATGTGCTTCAGGTAACTTAGAAACTTTTAAAGAAAAACCAATATACTGTTCTTCAATCTAGAACTAAGGAGAAATTTCCAGACAGCTAGAACAATTAATCAGTGGAACAACTTGCCTTCAGAAACTGTAAATGTTCCAACACTGGAAGTTTTTAAGAAGAGATTGGACAACCATTTGTCTGAAATGATATAGAGTTTCCTACCTAAGCAATAGGTTGGACTAGAAGACCTCCAAGGTCCCTTCCAAGTCTGTTATTTTATTCTATTTTCAGTCTTCAGTCTTCTTTCACTCTACCCATTTAAGAGCCATTTGATAAGCTGAAGTTTCAAAATCCCAGAAAGTAATACTGAATATTTACGATGATGCCCACAGTAATCAGAAATTTAATACCATTTAGTAGACTGAAGTTGCCATCCCTTTTCCCATGTAATTACATTTAATATACATTAAAATAAGTATAAAGGACTTGAGGTACAATTAATGCCTGTTCAGTGTTTCCAAAATAGTTCTTCTTAGTCATGTTGATATCTGTTTTTACTTATTTACAGAACTTTGCTGCTCAATATGACATGTCCAAATCAGCTGATATGGGCCCTGGACCTATGGTAAGCAAATGTTTCATTTCACACATATCCAAATTGCATCAGTGGACATCATTTCACACATATCCAAATTGCATCAGTGGGCACTTTCAACAAAGCAAAATTCCCAATATTGCATTTCTGCTATGTGGTGCAACCCAACATAAATTATATTAGTGAACTATGGAGCCCATTTTGGCTTTTCAAATTCCATTAGAACCCAAACTGTGCTTGGCTGTGTGTACAGCAGTCAAAACTGTCCTCTACAAAAGATCCTAACTATTACAGAGCAAAAGTTTGTATAATTGTGGTATTCAACAGCTGAATTTACAGAAATCTAGAAATTTACAGAATTTACAGAAATCCATCTAGAAAAACTGTGAAACCATGGATATAATGCTTCTGCTCACTGTGAGTTCATGAACTTTCTTTGCATCCCTTCATTAAAAGATTCCCACCTTCATATGTGTTGAAGTGGTTTTGATACCAATTTATAATACTGCATTTCTCTTTACATGTTATAAACATACGAATTATGTTTATAACATAATTATGTTTATAACATATGAAAAAGTAATAACTTGGTTTAAAGAATCATGTCCTATATTTAATGCTATCTGTACTTATTTGGCCAAGACATATGTAGTGTTTGGCTTGTGAGAAGTAAACTTTTGAGCAATGATTTTATGGTTACCAGTTGTCTCCAACTTTCTTCGTACTTGGTAATCTATTTACAGATATTTTCTGTTTTCTTTCATACGTATGTTTAAAGAAATGTCCTAATGAATTGAATCATCAAATTAAAGAAATGTCTTAATGAATTGGAACCTTCTAAATTAGCCAGCCAAGTTATCTTACCAAAATATGATGTGGCAAGCATTCAGTGGTGATGTCATTTGTTACTTAGTCATATTCTATAGTTTGTAGTAATATCATAAGGTGGAATTGGAAACACAGATACAATTTGTAGATGCATATTTCCCCAACTAATTGGCCTTCATATGCATCAGGACTCTCAAAATCCCCACATAAAGTCTCAATTCATTTAGAAGGCAAAAGACAGGGAAATCTGCATTAGTTTATAAACTTCACCCATCCCCTTTGTCTACATATTTTGGAATAAGATTGTCAGATGAAATCTGTTGCCTATTGCATTAAAATATTCTTCCGATGGGACAGACTCTTGATGTTCTCTGAACTTGGTTGTTTTCATGCAGATGTTTCATTACAAAACTAGGTAACCAGTGCCTAAACAAGCTCAGAGAACACCAAGAACACCACAATTCTTGTCATTTATTGGAAAGGACTGAGCTATATGGCCTTTTATATAGTAAAATGTATCAGTAGATCTTGGATCTCATTGAAGATAAAGATAATATATTCAACTCTTTAAAAGATTTTATTACCTGTTCCAGTATATTTAGAGCCAGTTTTATCTAGCAATTAAGCACCAAGCTACAGGGCAGGAAACAATGACTCTTGTGTTATGCCTGAAAGCCAGCTGGGGCAACCACTTTCTCTCAGACCCATTATTCACAGTGTTGTTGTGGGGAAAATAGAATGAGGAATATGTTAAAAGAAAAAAGAAAAGAAAAAGAATGAGGAATATGTATTTGCCGCCTTGAGTTATTTCTTTAAAAAAATAAAAAAAGGCAAACCTCAAATAAATAAATATTGTCACAAGTAATGTAATATAATACCAGCTCCATCTATAGAACAAGAGACATAATAGGAATCATGGCCCTCTGGGGAAAAAGGGACTGAATATTAATATCAGTTTACTTAGGCTTCCCATTTACAAACATGTAAACTTTAACATAAATACACTTAGAAAATTTCACAAAAAGAAAAAAAAATATTCATGCTTTCTTTCAGTTATCTATGGCCACTAAAATTAGCATTTCTAGGGAACTGGAAACACTGGAAATTATCATGGCAAGGACTATGTGAGAAACATCCTTATGTTATGTCACCTGAAAGTGAGATTTCTGAGCAGCTTCTCTCTTTCCTGGCATCTCACTCCACATTGTTTGGAGAGCCCACTCCAAAGTCACAGAGACATTTGGGGAAACCAAGGAAGAAGAAGAAAGGAAGCAAGCTGGACTGAGAACATTAGTCTTTTAATTAATGTTCAGATCCAGGCCACATTATAGTTGTTAGGAAATATAACCAAGGTTCCTGGATCAGAGAAACTACATTTAGGAAGCCTTCTTCATACATAGAATAAATGAAAGTGGCTACTCTCTTAAACTAAAAGAGCAGAATGAGAAAGGAGTGGGTTGCACCCATTATTATATAAGCCGAACAGGTTTTATTCATGCAGTAGAAACTTATTTTCCAATTCTTAACTTTAGAGAAGATTCAAAAATCTTCTCAAAGTTCATGGGACTTTGGAGAAAAGAAGGAATTTTGATCTATCAGCAGCACCTGTTTCTCTAGTTGAAGAATCCTCTCCTATTATGGTGTATTCTCAATATTGTCAAACCCCAATGATGAAAATCACAAGATACTCCAAGCAGTACGACTTTCTATTTACTGGCTGATTAGGAGACCATTCTGTCTTTTTGTTCATACAGCTAAAAATCTTAGAGGATGCATGTCGGCCAGAAAAGAAAAAAGGAAAGGAGAAAGGAATTTTATTGATTTTTTTTTTTGTAAAACAAATTTTAAAAAGACTTTGGGCCAGTTACAAAAATGATATTAAAGCCAGACATTCAGCCAACTATTAAAGTCTTCTAAGTAAAGATGAAATGTTCTGAATAAAAGGCAATATTTTTTGTCAGTTTACTAAATTATATGTGTGAAATTACAAGATATCTCCTGGGGTTGCTGTTACATTTCATTTTTATATGCTTTTTCTCATGTTTGACAAGCTCATACCATGCTTGACAAGAACCATTAGAAAACAGAACACTATTGCTGTTGATTTGCATTCCCAGCATAGTGAGATCCACTGGGATCCACGCATAACTAATCCAGCTCAAAGTGTACAATTTATGAAATCAAAAACTGTGTCTCCCATTAAAAATATTCATTCTTCAAAAGCAGTAATGTTAGCTGTCACAGCAGCAACAACAATAGAGGGTCATGCAGAAATACCATAATAGCAAAAAGGATTTATTTTCTTTTAGACAAAGCCAAGCTAAAATGCAAATGTTAATTCTCCTCTAATCAAAAATAACGTAGTGCTTAAATTCAAATTAGATAGACCAACGTAGGGATTAAACATATTTTCATCAATACTGTATTAACAGTGTATTACACAGAAAGAATAAGCCAATATTTGCTTTTTTAAAAATTGGCTCAGTGATTACAGTAAACAAAGTCTTCGGTTATGTTGGATCTCAAATCCAATAATCCTCATATATCACCTTCATTGTTATTTTTAATGCCAATAATACTATTTCTTTATATTTCAGATTTAGACAAATTATTACTGTATATTTCATGAGACATTATCCAGTGACTTATTTTATATGAATTTGACCTTTTAAAATACCCTTTTTCAGGGATTAATGGGACCTAGAGGCCCACCTGGAACCAATGGACCCCCTGTAAGTATATTCTATTGATAGGAAAGGAGCTTCATAAACTAGAGCTGTCAAAAGCAAGAGTTGTCAATATGAATAACTCAAGTTATCTGTAATGTGATCATAGTGTTCCACATTGGCAAGTTCCATATTATAATACTCAATTGATGATCGAATATAACATGACTGAATTTTTCTAAATTTTCTGCCATGGTAGAAAAACATATCCTTCCTTGTTTGATTATTCTATTTGCCTACTTCTCCGTTTAAGCTTAAATATTCCTAGGAAGGATAAAGTATATAATGGCTGGCTTAATACTATTTACTCAGCCATAGTATAGTTTATCACGGTATAAATTTAGCCATTGGGTTTTGTAAACTAGTGTTTAGGCTTAGCAGCAGTATGAATCACAAAATGTGATTAAAACAAATCATCATTAATACAATGCGAGACCTAGTCACAACCCTCTGACTATGAATTCTTGGCATTTCAATTAAATTATAGGAATAATTTGGACTGTTCCTTCTGTCGAAACAGATTAGTAGTATTCTCCTTTATTATCGGTGTTTCTGGGTCACATATTTCTTCTTCTGGGAAGGCCATGGGGAGGAGAGCAATCTCAACCACTCAATAATGGTCTCTAACTTGAGAGGGGCAGCATATAAATTTAATAAACAATAATAGTCTGATTCCATTAATTCTGCATGGTCACAGCTTGACCATTAGAGGTTTTCCAAAAATGATCATGGGGTCACTGAACCCTGTATTTACTGGTTGAATCTGTTCAAACTATTCTCCAGGTAGCTTTATTATAGAGGGATGTGTACTTTGCTTTTTCTCACAAATATTGAATAGCATGCCTTCTTTCTATTCTAGGGTTCTCCAGGTTTCCAAGGACTTCCAGGTGAACCGGGTGAACCTGGTCAATCAGTAAGTAAAATAGTGTTCTGCTGTAAGAGTGATTCTAATTATTAAATAACTGTTTCATTTCATCCACAACGTACCCCTTTTGGCAGTCTGCATAAGTCTACTGCTCATTGTTTTGCAGGAATTTATGAATTTATTTTTTTTTTCAAATCTAAATTATGTATGATATCCTGTGAGAAATGAGATCTTGCTAGAAAGGAAGCTAGAATAATTGCATTGTATTGTCTTGTATTAATTGAATAATGCTTGTAAATGAAGAATATGGAAAATTGGACTATGTAATAAGGAGCTATGCTCTCACAAAATCTAGAAACCATCTTAGGGAGAAATGATTCAGAATTATGATTTTGATTTAGCTAAGTCACCATTCAATGCAGGATAAAAGGAGTGACATCTCTTAATTCCCTTTATCTTGTTTCAAAATTATTATTTTTTTTAATCACTAGGGACCTCAAGGTTCTCGTGGTCCAATGGGTCCTCCTGGAAAATCTGGTGAAGATGTAAGTATTCATGAACACAAGCCATGATTTTCACTAGCTGTATTTTATAATGTGCTTGATTATAGTATTATGGAAAATATGCAGAATAATCTCATGACACATGACAAAAAAAAATGGATATTTTGCCTGTATATTTAGGAAGTAACTTTGAAGAAATAAAATTTATGCCTTTTAAAACCTAGAAACAAATAACAGAAGTTGTTTGGACAAATTCATGGAAGTCATGGGGATCAATGGCACTGAAAGCCATCTGCTGAGAGACTAGTGACTATCTTGAGCATTTGGTTGGCTATTGTGGGGACAAAGTGCTGGAATAGATAGACTAGGTTCTGCTTATATTCTTAAATGCAGGTTTAATTAATTTGCACATTAAAAAGTCAATTTTTGTCTCCTACTTAGGGCCATCCTGGAAAACCTGGAAGATCTGGAGAGAGAGGTGTTTCTGGACCCCAGGTGAATATTGTATTTGGGTGTAAAATAATTTTTATTTATAACTAAATTCAACATTGCATATAATGACAGAAATTCAGGAACGGTTTTCTCCAAAGGCAGTTTTCTTTGATGTCTTTCAGTTATGCTCAATTTCTAACTTCCAGAATTCCCATTCAGAATGGCTTAATGTCTGCACTGATTGGGAGGTGGAGATTAAGAGAGCCAAAGTCCATCCAGAAGGAATATCTCGATATTCCAAGTCTGTAATCATAATTAACAGCTAAAAGCCTCTTTGTGAAGAAAAGAGGTAACAGCTCAGTAGGAGAATACATTCTTTGAGTCTACCAAGTTTTGCTTCCTTTTCTGTTGTTTCCACATTAAAGTTTCAATCTCCAGGTAAAGGAATAAAATCCCACCTTCTTCAGACAGTATTGGATGATTTTTTTTAAAAAAATAGTTCCATTGGGATCTGGGCAGTTTTGCACACATGATACTCACTCTTGGATGGGCCAGGGACTATCTCAATAAAACAGATAAATGGTTTGCTATGTTGACAGGAGATGGCCCACTCACTGTCCATCTGCCACTTCCTCTGCATGGCCAGAATTACAGTTCTTACTGCAGTGATGCTCATACATTGGATCTGGCAATATTGCCTGTAGAGCAACTCAGTATAGTTGGAGACCTCACAAATATTTCTGGAAAAGAAGAAACCCTTTCTAAATTACATGCATAGTTATTTTAATTCTAAAAGCTCAGAAAGTTGCTGACTTGTTGAACTCACTGTCTCCATGTTTCTATGCAACGTCTCAGAAGTAAGCAGAACAACAGTGTTTGATCTTCTCTCACACAATTATAAAAAAAGAAAACAGAGAGGCCAGATTAGCATTCTGACCAACACTCTTATATTTGCATTGTTAACCCCATAAAAGCACAGACATTTTTCAACCTCATTTGATAAGATACTCAATTTGTAAACCTGTCCCAGGATACTGATGGTCTTATGCTACATGTTCAGTTTCCTAACTGGTCTCTTCATATATGTTTTACATGTTGTGTAAACAAGTTATTTACACAAATTAAGCCTATTCTCCTGTGTTATTTTCAAGGGTGCTCGAGGCTTTCCTGGAACTCCTGGTCTGCCTGGATTCAAAGGAATAAGGGTGAGTATTTTATGGAGACGTGAGGAAACCTATTAAAATGGTGACACCTTAGAAGATAATATGTACAACTGTTCTTCAGAGGTGCAAGTAACTCCCAAAATTTTAGAGCACATTTATAGAAGATGTTGTCATCATGAACTGCCATAAGAAGCTAGAATTGGAGAATCATCAAATATACAGAATGTAATATATTTACTGTAACTATGAAGTGCAGCCTTTGTTATTAATAAGAGAATTAGCATTTATCCTGTTCCCTGCACCTGTCAGAAGCAATAGCATTCATACAGATCAAAATTATCCATAACCATTGATTATGCACCACTCTTAGCTACACTAGCAGTTTAAAGCACTAGTTTCCTAATAATGTCAGCAAAGAGTTCAGTGAGACATCAGCAATCCATTCTGATCAGCTATCTTGGAGAGGGAGAAATACAGGAAATGATAGTGCTCATACTTTTTATAAAATTCCATTCATGCATCCAGGAGGGAAGAAAGAAAGGGACAAAAGAGGGACTATGAAATTATAAAGTTGAAGAGAGCTGTCATATAAAGAACATGTGAAGCTTCTCTCTTTGAATGTCTTATCATTTAAAAATGCTGTTCCAGATTTTTTATTTATATTACATAAAAGTAAATGTTTCTCCATAACAGGGACATAATGGTTTGGATGGTCGCAAAGGAGAACCTGGTGCTGCCGGTAACAAGGTAATATAATTACTATAAATGGTTTCTGAGAATATGTACTGGAGACCTGTAAGATCAAAGTAAATGCACAAAGAGACACAGAAAAAGATAGAGATTTTAGCCCAAACCCTGTTTCAAAAAAAAAATAAAGACATCAAAAGTTTTACAGTTCTAGAAAGCACATATATAAATAATTATAGTGAGAATGAGCAACAAATATACACATGGTGTTGCAATCATGTATTTACTTTCTTTAGAATAAATCCAAATGAATTCTCTGAATATATCAATGCAGAATGAGAATTAGATAGTAAGAAACAAAAAAGCTATTATAAATGGGTTACCACTTGATCTTGAGATTAAGAGGTAAAAATCTTGCAAGGAGAGAGTCAGAGAATAAAATATTTTGGATCTCCTTTATGGCAAGTAATCATATTCATTAATTTATTCAGTTCTTTCTCCATTTTGTTTAGGAAACAGAATGAGGGTGCAAATATAACTTGCAATGTATTGATCTCAGGATTAACTATTGGCCCAGGGTATCAGACTTAATTATACAACATATCATATTTGTCTAGACATTACTTATAGAGTATATAAAAGTAATTTAGTTTTTCCCTAAATTATATCACAGTCTTTGTAATCTATTGAAGAGACTTTTTTTCAAGTTAAAACAAATATTGTTTTGACTGAAAGCTTTAAAAAGTGCAGCAGATCAAAATCAAGCCCCTCTAATAAAATAAGTATGTATTTGGACTATGTTATATTATTCGTGGGAACATGTAGTGATGGATATGTGTAGATCAATCTTATGTTATATATTTTGTTTCTTCACTGAAATGAATAGGAGAATCCTAGTTGTAGGGAAGTTCTTGCAAGCTGTCGTGCTTATAAAATACACCTTATCAGTTCAATATCCATCAGATCAAAAGACTGGATAACATCATTATATATTAACTAAACTGTGTCTAAAGCTAATCTATTCAATCAGCTGTGATATTAAACTTTAAGCCAGTAAAATATTCAAATCAAATATCCCATTTATATGAATGTGACTGAATTGGAGCTTAGTTTCCTCCCATTGTTAGGAAACTCTAGGTTGACTGGTTTGTCTGGACAACAGCCAATATTTATTGTGTCCTTTTTATAGGGTTTGAAAATGTATAATTAAGTATCATAATAAAAAAAGCTTTGTCTGATATTAATATTGTTAAATGTATGGCTGGTTGCACAGTGAACCAGATGATTAAGAGTGGATTTGCCATCAAAATGGGGGTTAGGGAGGAACTGCAGAAGACCTCCTCTTGGGGCTCCAGTCGCTCCTTCTCACAGGTTGATGTAGAAGGCTCTATTGTTTCTGCTGCTGACGCAGACCTTCAGGGACCTGAGTCTCTAGCCCAGGTAGGGTCTCCTGATCATTCTGACAGGGAATCCTTAGCAGCCCCTGATCCTCTGGACCAGGATTTGTCGGATGACGAAGGTCTGGCCCCAGACCAACCAGCATTTGTGGGTCTCTTTAAACCCCAACTTGACATTATTACCTGCCTATTGAGTCCTTCCCAAAGAAATGAGATAGTGATTGTTGATGATTGATGATGATGATTCCATTTTGCATTAGATTTTAGAAGCATCAGCCTAAATTTTCTAGCACATTTTCAAATATATCCATAGTAAGCCAATACAAATGTTCATAAGGTGTATTTCCTCTTTACAGGGTGAACCTGGTGCTGCTGGTGAAAATGGTACCCCAGGACAAGCTGTGAGTGTTTTCTCTTTTATAACTTGCATAGGATCAAATTTATCAAATATTCTAAAGCGTCATTTATTAATCTCAATTGTATTGTCCCCACTAATGATAAAACTGATACTATTCTTATGCATACACGATGACTTATTAAATAACTTGCATGTGCTTTGCTTTCAGGGTGCTCGTGGTCTTCCTGGTGAAAGAGGAAGAGTTGGTGCTCCCGGTTCTGTTGTAAGTTATTTTCTTCCTGTGCAACAGGGTGTTTATTTTCTTTGTATGTGTAATTATTTTATTTTATACTCGGAATTTAAAATTTACATTTATTTTCTTTAGGGTGCACGTGGCAGTGATGGAAGCTCTGGCCCTGTCGGTCCTGCTGTAAGTCCAATTATCTTTTATCCAACATGTTCTTACTTTGAATGATGCAATCAGTGAACTGTCACTGGGTCTATCTCTCTAATCCAGAGGTCTTCAAACTTGGCAGCTTTAAGATTTGTGGACTTCAACTCCCAGAGTTGAAGTCCACAAGTCTTAAAGCTGCCAAGTTTGGGCCCCCTGCTCTAATTCATTTCACCTCTTCCCCCCCCCCCTTTATTTAGTGCATAACAGGGAGTTTTCAAAACAATTTTCAGTTATTTCCAAATGCGTATCAAGGATTTTCATTTTTATAATATTTATTGTGGTATAAAACTATGAAAATATTTTTAAAATGATATAAAATGGCATTTTGAATTAACACTGTATAAGACAGGTATCTTAATTACTTCTTGGCATTTTGGAATGAAACATTATCAAGTCTTGTTTTTAGGGAATTTTCTATAGACTGTTCAGCTAAAATTGCATGTTTTCTTCCTGGATAAATTGAGAAACAATTGGATTCCAACCATACCTTTATATTTATAAAGAATATCTTAATTTTTAAACGGGTATATTACATTTTTACACAAACTCCTAATACACTACAAGCTTTGCATGACTTTCCCAACATGGATTTTAGTTTAGTATATTTACTCAGTCCTCTGTAACCAGACAACCCATCTAAGTTGTTATACAGTCCCCAGAAACAAACCTCAGCTAAAAGCAGGTTCTGTTAGGAGTTCACAATATATTGTAGTGAATCTTGAAGGAGAATGTGGTTTCCTGGTATTCCATGATATTGCAATCCATGATATTTCAGTAGATAATCTCTACTGTAAGATCTTCTCTTACAATTTTTCCCACTCACATTTTTTCTTTTCTATTTTCATGCTAGTGATTTATTATTTCAGTAAAAATATTTATGCCATTCCACTTAATGGAGTGGCATAAAGTATATTTTAGCTACTCCATTAAATGTATCAGACATAAGTCTTGTTTTCTGTACTTTTGATAGGCTCTTGTAGATGTTTAACCATTTGCTTTTGTCTTTTATCTTGCAGGGCCCTATTGGTGCTGCTGGTCCTTCTGGATTCCCTGGTGCTCCTGGAGCCAAGGTATGAACAAGCTTCAGAATGAGAAAATATCTAGAAAAGCCTTCTTCTCTATTAGATCTTCAGATACAAACAACTTTCAAACACAAGTCTTATAGTTTCAAAGAAAATAGAGAATTTCCAGCTACTAAGTTATAACAATTGTCAACTGTTAGTCTCACGTTTTTGAAGAAAAGAGTTTTATGAGTGTATCTCCATTTTTAAAGGATCGTAACAACATGGTAGCCATTTCAAACATTTAGGTTAATCAACTTTCTAAATCCGTTAACTGATTTGTTAGAGCCACTACTCTAGTTATGTATCCTTCAAAATTAAAATTGCAGGTAAAGTGGAATGAAATGTAATTGTTTTACATAGTTCCATCTTTTCTCCCCATTTCATAAAATAAGAGCTGCATAAAATTGTGTTTGCTTTTTTACCAATCATCATTACACTATTGTAAAATTATTTACCTGTGTATAAAGGCCTTTTCTGAAATGCAATAGTTCCTATGACACAAATATAAATATCAGGATATAAATATGTTTTTAATATTTATTGGTTTTTAATTTCTCAAACAATACTATGCTTGAGACACGGATGTCATATGCATGTCATTTTTTTCTAAACTAAATATTAAAATGACTGTAGTAATTAATTTTACATCTCATTGATAGGTACAATGTGATATTGCTACTGATACACTCTACTGATAAATAGATTTAAAGCACTTAAATTTTACCTAGTCCCTTAACAATTTTACTAAATTTCAAGAATTTTGTAAAAGGAAACCATGTATATAAAAGAAACTGTGTATATAGTCACATTCAAAGATACGGGAAATAAATACCTTTTAAGCTGTCCTCTAAATTATAATAAGAATGCCTCAATTCTAGCAAATGTTTTTAGAATAGAAAAGCTCCATCAGTAAAAAAGAAATGTTACTGATGTTGGACAAATTCATGATGAAGTCTGCAAATGGTGCCCCACGGAAAACACTGAGCATGGGACAGACTGTGAAGGAATAGATTTACGCAGCATTGGGCATTTGCATCAAATTGAGCAGCTTAAATTGGATTTTAAAGTCAAGAGCTGTGCCAATAATATAAACTGAGTTAACACTAATTTGCACTAAAACAAACCACATCTGTCTAACATTGCTATCCTGTCTTTGAAAACTGATTAGATCTCTTTCTGACAGGGTGAAATCGGTTCTGCTGGAAATGTTGGCCCAAGTGGACCTGCTGGTCCCCGTGGTGATATTGGACTCCCTGGTGCTGCTGGACCTGTTGGCCCTGCTGTAAGTTACACAGAATCTCTGCCATTTATTGAATAAATGGCACTCAACAAATATGAAATTACGACCCTATACTTTTGTAAAACCAACTAATTATATATATTTTGCTCTCTTTTTTAGGGTAATCCTGGTACCAATGGTCTTGCTGGTGCTAAAGGCACTACTGTACGTATGCTTGTGTTGAAATCAATGTATTTCCTTATGGGGAATATTGTTCTTGGGGTTGCAGAGACAATCCTAGCATTGTAAAGTGGTTTCCTTTTTTTCTCTCTTTGAACAGGGTCTTCCTGGTGTGGCTGGTGCTCCTGGCCTGCCTGGTCCTCGCGGTATACCTGGTCCAACTGGTGCCTCCGGTGCAGCTGGTGCAAGAGGACTTGCTGTAAATTGCCTTAAATGCACTTAAACCCTTTTGTATTTGCTGCTTTTTCAAAGCTTGAAGTGCCCAGTTTTAATACTGAATGTTTTAATTGGCTATTAGACTTGCATCTACTCTCTAAGCCTGCAGTCATCTTCTGCATAAATGGTGCACAGTTGACAGATTTTCAATATTCTTAATATTCTGCATCTAGATTTAATATGGCCACATCTCTTTAAAAAGAGATGTTCTGTATCATTCTTTCCAACTATTTTATGAAGGAGGTTGTTTCTCCATGTTTGATTAGCTACTATAATCAAGTTCACAACTGACTACTTGATTATGCACAATTGTAGTATATAGTGAAAACAAGTTCACAACTGACCACTTGATTATGTACGATTATGGTATATAGTGAAAACAGCCTCCTCTATTAGGTTATTGCGGCTTAATCCCATCCTAAATGCATAATGCATCCACCATTTAACATTTTAAATCCATACCGTAAGCTTATATAGTTATCATTAAATTGTGAGAATTTAAAGGAATACCCATAGGCATGTTGTTCACTGCCGGCTGAACTCATATTTGGCGCATCCTAGCTAAATTATCTGTTATGCTATATAAACAACATTTCTTATTTTTTCCCAACTCATCTCTTTCTTCTGATCTCTGAATGAGTACATTTTCTAAGCCAGGAATGAAATTACCATAAATCAAAGTAAAATGAAATATAATTTTGCTAAAATGGTTAGATAAGCGCAGAGAATATTTGTTTAAAGATGCCTGCTTTGGCCCGATCCCTTAAAATTTAAGCAGTAATCCAAAACTAGAATCAACTTGATTGGTATGGGCGAGCATCTTAGTGCGTTATTTTTAAACTTAGCTTTTTCCATTACAGTTCTTCATAAAAAATATGTACTTAGAAGAGAAGAAACTAAATACTCTTCTCTGATATCTTGTTCTGTTTGGTTCTAGGGTGAACCTGGTCCCCCTGGATCCAAGGGAGAGACTGGTAACAAGGGTGAGCCTGTGAGTATTATAATAATATGAAATATCTTTACTTTTCAGAATGGCTTTTCATCCAAGTTAACTGGGTTAACAAGCTAGTGACTTTTCTGCTCTCTTTACCACCCCACAGGGTGTTGCTGGCCCAGCTGGTCCTGCTGGTCCATCTGGTGAGGAAGGCAAAAAAGGTCCCAATGGTGAAGCTGGATCTTCTGGTGCACCAGGATCTGCAGGTTTAAGAGTAAGTCTCTTGTATACTGTAAAAACAATGCTTTAAAAACATTTGGAAAATTGATAGGAAACATTCTATAGTGCACATACTTCATGAAAAGCATATTTAGTCTCCTAGCAGTTACAAAACTAAATAGGTCATTTGAAAAACCTCCCAGAATTATGTAGCAGTTAAGGTGTAAGACATTTCCCATCCAATAATGGAGGTCAATGAGTGATCTCTATTTCATCTTACTGTGATTGTAATAATGAAATGAGGAAAGGCCTCCACTTTGCAGTCCCGGTTCCAACCTAAAGGCACGTAGCAGACGAAAGCTTTTTCCTTTATATGTAAAATGTGTTTTTTACATTCTCATGTAACTGCTGGATTTCGTCCAACAAGACACAGTTTAGGACCAGGTTTCTAACTGAAAGTTCCCAGATATAAGAGAAAAACACAGACAATAAAATAAGAGAATTGAGGATAATATGCTGCGTGTTAAACTCTTGTGAATGCCATAGTATACTTATTTTTACTTTTTAACAGTCCTGTGCATAATCTCAAAACCTTCACAAATGAATTATGATATGATCTGCTTCTTTCCCAACATATAATTTTTAGTCTCCTGAACTGATTCTGAGAAAAGAAGCAATTTCTATGTACAAATAATGAATGAAAAGAAATAATAGATATACATTCATGCCTAATGCAACCTGTTTATGATGCTGAAATCATATCCTTCATACCACAGAAAAGTTCTGGTCATTTAAATTTTGCTGTGCTATAATCCATAAAGATACTGAAAGCTGAGTCTTAAAAAGTCACTTTTCACTTTCAGTCCCACATGCTGAGTTCAAATTAAATGATAAAGTGCAGGAAAACTAACATTTTGGAGCTTTCATAGTGTCTCTCTTTCCACTGAACAAAGAAATAGCCTTCGTACATTCCAATGTAAATGCTAATGCCTTATGTGTTTACCAAAGTCTTTTTCCAGTTCTGATCAAAAGTTGTGGTTTCTTTTATAGGGTGTTCCTGGATCTCGTGGTCTCCCAGGATCTGATGGCAGAGCTGGTGGTTTAGTAAGTTTTCAATTTCTTTTTTACAATCAGTTTATAATTTAGACAAATAAACTCCCCTCTACCTATCCCATAAAGTCAGCCAATAGATTTCTGGCATTATGTTCTAATGCAAGCCTCTTCTTTTGTAGGGCCCAGCTGGCAGTCGTGGTGCTACTGGTCCTGCAGGTGCTAAAGGTCCCAGCGGTGACACAGGTCGTCATGGTGAACCTGGTCTCATGGGTGCAAGAGTAAGTAAAGATGGATGATCTTTTGAAATCAATGAATAGTTTTAGATAGCAGCTGCATTCTGAATTTACATGGGCTTTTTTGCTTTCCCAATGGCCAGTTTTAAAAAATTTTTTAAAAAATGTTTATCAGATCTAGTAAAGGGATATTTTGTAGATTCATGACCTGATCTGCCTCCCATACCTGCACTGTAAAGCAGATTGTTCCTCTCATGTTTTAGACATATGAACCTGAAGTTGCAAGCTCCTCTATATTATGTTGTTCTCCCTATGCTCTGTTCCCCAGCAGAAAGTCAAAATGAACTGAATAATGGGTGGTGGTGTCGCTTTTAAATATATTTGCACAATTTTGGCAAATAAATCTAATTGAATTCAGTAGGGCATCTCTAGATAACAGTTTTTGATAGAGAACACTGCATTGTATTACATTTATGCCCATATTTAAATATGCATGTAGAGTGAAATTAAGTTTCTCATTCCAGTTTTAAGTAACTCAAAAGACACATTAAGGGTAAATACTGTATCTCTGTATATTTAGGGTCTCCCGGGACAGTCTGGAAGCCCAGGTCCGGCTGGAAAAGAAGGTCTTGGTGTAAGTATACCCTTCCATTTTGTTCTGTAAAGATTGAGCAGTAGAGACGTAGATATTTTAAATGGATTTTCTGGATAGCGTTTATATTTTATATTGATATTTTCATACCAAGCTTTAATATTTGAATCCTGTTTTTCTGTGATGTTTTTTAAAATATGGAATGTTCAAGAATTAATAACTAAGCCATGACCTGGAATTGCATTTTTATGTATATTGTATCTAAGCAATAGCTGTGCAATTTAATATTTATTAACTTTTTTTTCTAGTTATGTAGATCCATTTCCATAAAATCATGAAGGGAGGGGGGTTATTTGATTTTTTATTTTTTTGGAGAGGTATCAAACTACTGAACAGTGCTATAAGGACAGCCATGTAGGAAAATAATAAACTCTGAAATGTCTTCATAACCAATTTAAAGTGTCTTGCTCTCAATGGTCACACAATATTCAAGCAATGATATAAACTACAATGCAAGATCTGAAATTTTCTTCCTGCAGGGTCCAACTGGACCTGATGGTCGCCCTGGCCCAACTGGCCCAGCTGGTCCACGAGGTGAACCTGGAAATATCGGATTCCCAGGACCAAAAGGTCCAAATGTAAGTACTATACAATAGAATAGTATGATGTTGGCAAATAACATGACAGCAATTTACATTGCTGTTCATAGCACCAATTTTATGGCACTCCACTGGATGGCACCTTAACTGTATGTACCAGAAGTATACTACTCTAGTGCTAACACATTTGTCTTACTTAACACCATTTTGCTGATCCAAGAAGCTTTGGATTTAGCTGGCAGTCCCATTTATGAAATCCTTTACTTTCCTTTGTCATTTTAATTCTTTACCAAGGAAAGGGCTGAGCCTCACTAAGAGAAATTTATTTTCAGCTTAATGCTTATTTTAATTGTAAACCACTTATTGTTTTAACTGATGGTGGGTTTCAGTTATATTTTCTTTCTTCTTTTCACTTTGGGGTGTGTGTGTGTGTGAGAGAGAGTAATGCTTTAATTTTTTACCAATGCTTGGATAAGGAATGGTGTGGGTGTAACATTTATTTGTATTCATTTCTTCCATGGTTATAGCAAATATGTCACCTAAATCTTGCTCGGATGTAAATAAACATAATGCCATTGAACTGGAAGAAAATGGCAAATATGTTTGGTTAAATGCATCCATGGCACTGAATCTAATGATAACATATCAAGTCAAAACCACAGTGGAATAAATTGCTTAGGAGAGTTACAAAACTCTTATCTTTGGATGTATTTGAGGCAAGACCTCAGTGCCTTCCGCCGTGCCCTTAAAACCCACTTTTTCCAGCAAGCCGAGCTGGTTTAGGAAGAAATTTTTAAATTTTTTAAATGTTTTAATTTGTTTGTGACTTTTAAATTTTTGGGCCAAATTTATATATATTTTAATTGTTTTTAATATTTGTATTTCATGTTCTTAATTCTGGCTGTGCACCGCCCTGAGTCCTTAGGAAGAAGGGCGGTATATAAATTGAAAAATAAATAAATAAATAAATAAATAAACTTCTCCCTTGGATAAATATAATAGCTGGTTAGAGGCGTGATGATTTGTCATTTCTCTTTCAATTCTACATTTATGTGACTTTGTGCATACACATTTTCACTTTATGTATTTTTTTAACAGGGAGGAAGTTACTCAGTATAAGTGTAGTTCAGGATGTTTTATTCGACTGGGTGTGGGGAACGCATCCCTTTGGCAATTGTTTGCTTGCCAGTGAAAGTATGCAGGCTTCAACCTGTATTGCTGATTGTTCTTTTATCAGAATTCCTAATTTACTCATTTCTTCTTAATCTGAAAAAGGATGAGCCAATAGATAGCAACCTTAAGCAGGAGAAGCAGCAGATTCAAGATGTTCATCATGATACATCTTCTGCTAGAGCAGGCATCTCAAGAAATGCCCAATTATGCCAACTGTAGACCCTGTACAGAAATATAGAAATCTGGAGTCAAGTACTGTGGCGGGGTTGCTGTTATTAATTTTAATGCAGTAACTTATTTAACTGTGTTTCATTTTATCAGGGTGAACCTGGCAAACCTGGTGACAGAGGCAGTGTGGGCCTGACTGGTCCACAGGTAAGTGAAACTAATTTACACCCTATTTTTTTATACCTTAACTTTAGTAAGGAAAACATGATTTGCCAATAGTTAAGAATCTGCAATAATTGAATAATTTATAAAACAGAAAAAGACTGCTGTATTTATAAGTTCTCTGGCAGTAGTCATAAGCTAACATTTCGAATGAAGGTTACATGAAATAGAAACAGATAGAGTAGAACCTCTGGTCACGACAAACCAATCTGATCATGACTCAAACCTAATTTTGGAAATTTGGCGCTTACAAAAAAAATGGCGCAGAAGGGGAAATCGGCCACGGAAAAAAAATTGCAAATTTTTTGGTCTGAACCTGATTTGGTTGTGTTCAGAAGCATTCATAACCAGAGGTTCTACTGTACTGTACTCTCTAAGATATCATTCAGTATCTGGAGTATTTTACTTTATACCTTATACTGTATACTTTAGCTTATTGTAAGAAATTAAAATTTTCCCCTACCTTATTTTCTGGATCCAGGACAATATTTTTAGGAGAGCAATCCACTAACAAATTGTATTTTAAGCCACACTAATCTATTATAGCAATGTCCCCCAACCTTTTGGGCACCAGGGACTAGTTCTGTGGAAAATGGTTTTCTGTGGACCGGAGGGCGCATTGTTTCATGTGCTGCCTGCATCCTATGAGCGGGGCTTCACTTGTTTGCGTGGCAATTTTTCTGGCATGTCCCATCCCGATGCTGGTCCACAGACCAGGGGTTGGGGACCCTGTTTTATAGTACAATACTGAAAGTTTCTATATCATATCTACTAGTGAGAGTTCCACATTCATTAAAAGCAAAGTTTCCCTCATGTTGAAATCAGCTCTTAGTAATTTCACCAAAACTCCTGGAAATAATTAAGTAAGCAAACAAAACCACTGTATATTTTAGAATATGATTGTCCACACTATGAACAACTGAAGCTTTGTGGTTCTAGGGTCCTCCTGGTCCTGATGGAAACAATGGAGCTCAAGGTGCACCTGGTCTTGCTGTAAGTACAAGATTAATCCTAGTTAACTTCTGATGCTTCTTTGCCAATGATTTATTTCTCATCATTACAATTTTAATTATTTATTTTAGGGCAATGCAGGTCCAAAAGGTGAAACTGGTCCAGCTGGTGCTCCTGGCTTCCAAGTAAGTAAAGTTATCTTTTATCCAATATTGCCTTTTCTTGATCTGTAATGCTAGAATTGAATAAAGGCTGTTCAAATGTTACTAAATATCTCAACAAACCTTGATGACTTTAATATAGCCAAGCATCTTATCCTACCAAGTAAATTCAAATGCTTTACTGAACCTACGTTGCTAGTTAGATCATATCTTGCAAAGTGCACTTACTAAAAATAGGCATGCATAGAATTCAAATCACTAAGCTTCAGTGGATCAAAGACAATCAGGTTACGAGAATTGAAGACACTGTTCTTGATTGACAATAGCTACACACACATTTGCTATGTAAGACTCTGCAGTGCCTCCAATTCATTTCAGAAGAGGTGTTTTGCAATAAAAGGAATGTGAACTCATCCCTGGTTGGCAGTTCATGAAAGAAATTAGATTTGGTTGGACAGTCACAGAGGGTCACTGTGTTGACATCACTAGGCATTTTGAAGCATGCCTCTTTCAAGTCAGATTTGAAGTACTATATTGCTATGTTCACCATATGCAGGCTTAGTGGATGGGGCCAAGACATGGAAGGACTTGGGAAGAGAAATCAGTTGCAAAGAAACTGAGATTCACATATAGTGATTACTTTCATGTAGAAGGCTGGTTTTACAAGGGAATTTTTGATTTCCTATTCAAAACTCAAGAATGAATAAGATTGAATACAGCAGTGGCCCCCAACTTTTGGGCACCACAGATCGGTTCCATGGAGAGGGATTTTTCTGCGGATCAAAGGGGTGTAATTTGGTATGCTGCCTGCATCCCACAGATGGGGCTTCACAGATGTGGCCCAGTTTCTGGGATGTCGTGGTGCTGTGCCGGTCCATGGACCAGGATTTGGGGGACCCTAGAATAGAGTACAGTAATAGGGACAGATGAAGATATTTATTTTATTGCATGACCTGCGGTTTCCCTTATCTACAGCACATAAACAAATTACAGGACAATTACATTGTTTTTCCTTCATCTGTTCATTTATTTTCCTATAGGGCCTTCCTGGTCCCTCTGGTGGAGTTGGTGAAGCTGGCAAACCAGGTGAAAGAGTAAGTAGTAAAGTAATTCATATTATCCCTTGTGGTTTAATTAAGAAATTTGTACTTTAATTTAACACAGGGTTGGGGTTTTTTTTTTTTTTTTTTGGACATACATTGGATAAACTGCAGATTGTATTCAGTACTTTGGTCTTTCCAAGTCTGGATCCTTCCAAGACTCTTCCATCATCCCCAGATCCTCGAGCCATTAGGAAATTATACAAAAAAATGAGATTGAGAGAGTGATTATATCCCTTGGAAAGACATACTTCATAAAGTGTCTGAGGCCTAGCAGTGAATTATCTATTTCTCTGCTATAATCAAAGTACACTAAAATCAGTGAAAATAGCATGCCAAGCAGATACATATTTCTTCAGCATTATTTGAAATTCCCCCTTTTCATATGAAGTGGATTTCATTTATCTGCCTACTCTTATTCTGGCAAATTGGAAAAACAAATTTACTGCTGCTTTTTGTCCTGTGAAACAAAAAGAAAACAAAATGCTGGGATTTTAAAAAGGGACTATTAAAACAAATCTACCAGCTTAGTTTATTTTTTTTTTCAGACAGTGAACATTTTTTCAACAAGTGACATATGCATTGGACACAAGTCTTTCTTTATCTCCAGAGTTTCCCTTCCTTTTAATCTCACAATTAAGAGTAAAGCTCCTGGTTCCTTCTATTCCTTGAAACCAGCTTGAACCTGGTGACTTCTCTGATTTGTATATGTAATTTTCATGACAAAAATACACATTGCAGCACCTTAGAATCTTTTCCCATTTCCTAATGTGGGGATTTCCTGCCAGAAAATCCAAGTAATAATCATAACCAGCACTATTTCACTTTTGAGATCAGCCAAGATTGACCTAAGCACTGCAATATTCTTGAGTGAATCTCACAGCAACCCTGAAAATGATCAGTCTGACCTAGCATCATTCAAAATCTTAAAGGGAATTTGAATCTTGAGTAGTCATTTATTCACTTGACATCCCTCAAGCTATCACATGTTCCATAGCTTCCAGCTATAGGAGAATTAAGACTCCCAGAATTCCCAAATCACATGGCATTTAGCCAGACTAAGTGACAATCTGGGGATTGTAGAGTAGCCCTAATGCATCTACAGGGCACCAGATTAGAGAATACTGTTCTATGCCACACAAATGTCATACTCTGCCATAAAGTCAAACAGCATTTGAAAAAAAACAAAAAACAAATATTGTTCCCTTCCTGCAGTACTAAACGTCGATTTGGTGGCCAAGGCCTGAATTTAAATTATTCACAACTTATTCTGAATTGTACTGAATTACAGCAAAACTTGCAGAAAGGTATAATCTGGTTTTACTTCTTTTAGTGACCCGATTGTCTTTCTTTTGTTCAGAATATCTATTGCCTTTTATCTTTCTGGATGAAAATATCATTAGATCTCTGAATGTCATATTCTGAAGCAGTGCTTTTAAAAAATAATTTTAAAGAATGTGTTAACAAATCTTTATTTGTACCTAGGGTGCTCATGGTGACTTTGGTCTCCCTGGTCCTGCTGGCTCAAGAGTAAGTATATGCTTTTCTACAGTTTAGTACTTTTTTTCCTTCTTTATTTGAAATACAGTAGAATATAGTATTAGGTAGTATTATACTATAATTTGAAAGTGTGTGAGAGTATATAAGTTCCTTATCTTGTAGAAATCAGTATTTTAAGATGAGTTCCTATATAGAAAAGTAGTTCTATCATATAGTTAGATTTTTTTTGAATAATGTAATCATTATATCAGAGAAATATAAATATTGAGATAATATTCTATTATTTCTATATAGAAAGATATATTTCTATATACAAATATTTCTATTTCTATTATTTAGTGTGACTTATAAATTTAGTATGCAATGTACATTTAGTCAGACCCAGAACCAATTAACACTGTAAATAAGTAAGCACCACAATAGACCAAAAATGGACACCATTAAATCTAAACCATTTTAAGTAGCTGTGACATCTTATGAACCAACAAGCATAACATACATGTACAGCTTTCCACACCTTTTCAGTTTCTGCATTAGTGAGATTGAGACTCCCGGATTGCCATTTACTTTATACTCATCTGCTTCCTTCAGGGTGAACGTGGTGCACCAGGTGAAAGCGGTGCTGCTGGTCCTGCAGGCCCTCTGGGAAGCCGTGGCCCATCCGGTCCACCAGGTGCTGATGGTAATAAGGTAAGGTAGAAGGAAGAATTGCTATTTTTCTTAAATCCAGGAGAGGGCACTGTGAAGGTCCTGTGGGAAGAATACAGTCAGATGCAGAGAGCAATAACATCTACATTATTTCTAAATCTTCATTGTGAAAATGACAGATTTTAACATGTCTTCTGTAAAATTTTGCAATGTGCAGAATATGCAACTGGGAAACATCAAACAATTAGATGGTGAAACAATATAGCTCAGGTCTTTTTAGCGTGGGCTTTATTAATTTCAGTTAACAACAGAACTTTAAAATGTTATATCTGTAACACTGAAAGTTTCTTCTATGTTAAAAAGTTTGGGCATATGCTTTCAAAAGTTCACATTTCGTTTTTGTTTAAATAACATCTTGTTATGTAGCAGTGATAAACCATTCTTTATAAAAAGAGACTTGGAAGTCTTCTGCATCAGCTGATCTACACAAAAAGCTGTCATCTTGGAATGGCAACTTCCTCTAGGGGTATTGAGGAGGAAGAAAAGGGAAACGAAACATGACACTATCTTTGCAGGAAGAGGACATTTTCACAGTCTACTACTTTTCATTCTAAATATTGCTGCTTTGCTGAATTTGAGCAGGGAAAGCAAGACCCACTTGCCTCTACTATAAAAAGAAATAATATTTCATTTTTCTGCAATCTATTTTTCTCATCTATTCTGGATTAAACCCCTATGAAATGTACAACAATCTGAAATGAATCAAATTTATTTATCAGAGATCCACTGATATATGTTTAGCATAAATACATAGTTAAAGTATATGCATCCAATTCTAATCACTTGAACATTAGAGGATAAAAATGCCCTTCAACCTATTGATGATGATGACCAATACATCCCTTGCAGGTTATGGACCATAATCTATTATGCCGATCTAGTGCAAGTTTGTAAAACAGGTTGTTGTTTTTTAATTTCTCAATCTAAGATGAGACATTGATTGGACTAGAGTCTTCAGCTGACTTCTGGTTCTTAGTCTAGCATCTTAACCCTTACATCACACTGGATCTCTCTTTACATGTCTTAATACTGATTTTCTTGGAAAAATAACAAATGAGAGCAGCAGAAGAAACCTTGCCTGGTTTTCTTTTGAGTCCTTAAATCTTTTCCTTTCTTGTTTCGCTAGGGTGAACCTGGATCTGTCGGTGCAGTTGGTAGTGCAGGCCCATCTGGTCCTAGTGGAGTCCATGGTGAGAGAGGTGCTGCTGGTGGCCCAGGAGGCAAAGGTGAAAAGGTAAAAGAATACTGTCCCACAATTAAGAATACATAATTTACCATCAGTTTTCTGCAGGGAAAGGTTTATAGCCCAACAATAGTGCACATAGCTTGCAATCGTAACATGCCCACCATGACCAGAAACAGCAATAGTATTTAGACTTATATACCACTTCACAGTGCTTTACAGTCATCTCTAAGCAGTTTATAGAGTCAGCATATTGTCCAAAACAATCTGGCTCCTCATTTTACTGACCATGGAAGGATGGAAGGCTGAGTCAACTTTGAGCCAATGAGGATCAAACTGCCAGCAGTTGGCAGTCAGCAGAATTAGCCTGCAGTATTGCATTCTATCCACTGTGCCAGAAATGAATCCACTCTAAAAATCTAGTTTGCTGTTAAATTGAGGGGGTGGGGCGGGGACCTGATCAAGAAGCACCAATAATCTTGCTCTGAAGCACTTTGTGATACCAGGAGAACAGGAAAGGGGTGGGGAAATTGAATTGGGTTTGTCTGGGATCCCTGATCAAAGACATTTTTGCTCAATTCCTGAAGTAGCCTTCAACTTCTACAATGCTATACCAGCATGAGCAATGTGCTTAGACTATCCCTGGTCTGTTTTTTTGTTTTTTTTATAATTCTGAAGGTTGGCACATATTTGAAACTATACGGTCAATACATTATATTAAGAAAAGTTAATTGATTAATTAAATTAAGGAAGGTTTCAGACAAATGTTGAGAAAAGGCTGAGAAGAAGAACAGAAAAATAACTTCTAGGACCTAGAAAGAGGGTTTGGGGCATAGTTAGGATTGAGAGGAGGCAAATGAGGTAGAGGAAATATTGTACCAATCTTCAAATATCTGGAAGGATCTCACACAGAAGAAAGTCAGTTAGTCACAATATAAAATAATGGATTGAAGTTAAGGGAAAGCAGGTGCCAAATGACCACTGCAAAGCAATACTTAACAATAATAGCTATTCAGCAATGAAACTAAATCCATCCTTTAGTGTCTAAAGGGGTCTGCCACCTTGGCAACTTGAAGACTTGTGGACTTCAATTCCCAGAGTTCCTCAGCCAGCGAAGCTGAGGTTCGCAAGTCTTAACTTTGCCAAGGTTGCAGACCCCTGCTTTAGTGCATGTATTCAAATTAAGGCTAGATAACTATTTATCAGAAATGTTTTAATTTAACTTTTATATTAAACGGGATGGAGTACATGGCTTAAACCAGTGTTTCTGAACTTTAGCAACTTTTAAGATGTGGGTGGACTTAAAGTCTCAGCAACTTGGCTGGGACAGTTGAAATCCACACATATTAAGGTTGTTGAGGTTGAGAAACATTGATTTAAACTATTATTTCTAACTCTTTCTTTCCACATGCTTGTCAGAGAATGCAGAATGCAGCATTGGGTAGGGTTAAACTCTTAACATCTTAATAATTGAGAATTTCAAAATAACAAACACTTTTTAAAAAAACCAAAATTGGCCATTTTGTTTTTTGAGTATATTTGAAATATTGAAGTGTCTTTAGAAGGTTCACAGTTATTTCTGTCACCCAAATGAGAGGGATTGTTTCATCAGTAAATCAATGAATTGGCTGAAATGGTTAACCAAGACAAAATTGAAACTGTTTCAATGGGTGAAACTGTTCCTCAGCATTTCTTTTGAAATCATAATCATATAAAGCATCCCACATTACCTAGGCATAATCACAATTTGTGCTTTATTTCAGGGTCCATCTGGCTTCAGAGGAGATACTGGAGCATCAGGAAGAGATGGTTCACGAGTAAGCATGCGTCTTTAATTTATTTCCAAGGAACTGTGCAATTCTTCTAGCAACTACAACATGAAAGCCAGCTAGTATTTTAAAATGTAGATGGCATGAAATTCTCCTTAAGTGACCTTATCCTAAAGTCAGTGGCAAAAAGCATAAAAACTGTTTAGAATTTAAATCAGATTGCACGGAATGATTGTATTTTATTTATGGAAACTGTGAAATTAAATTTATTTCAAATTACCTGGAAGGTTAGGAACATTTGGGGAGAAGAGGTGTTAGTAGAATTGAAAAAAATATAATTCTTTAAAAAAAAAAATTCTGTAGTATTTTATATTAAACTCCTTATTGAGGGTTTAATACTATCAGTTTAGTGACCATTCAAATTTACAGCAAGACTAAAAAAGTTATTTATGACCAGTCCTCGCACTTATGACCATTATAGCATCCCCACAGTCACTGGATCAAAATTCAGGTGCTTGGCAATAAGCATGTTGTATATACAATTGATACAACTTCCTGGAATCCTGCAATTGCCATTTGTAATCTTCCCAACTGGCAAGCGAAATCAGTGGGAAGCCAGATTTATTTAACAACTGCGTGATTAATTTAGCAACTGCTGCGATTCACATAACAACTGTGGCAAAAAGGATTGGGCATGACTTACTTAACAACCGCCTTGCTTAGCATTGGAAATCTGGTCTGAATTATGGTCACAATTGAAGGACTACTTGTACCCTAAACTCAACAAAAATACACAGAGATCAAGTTACTCTTTTTGGTTTTCAGGGAGCCCCTGGTGCTGTTGGTGCCCCAGGACCTGCTGGTGCTAGTGGCGAAAGAGTAAGTCTTTTTTATTTATTTATTATTAAATTTATGTGCCACCTATCTAGTCCAGATATTTTTGGGATATTTCCTAGGCATATTCCCAGAATATAGATGTGGAACATTGATCATTTTATAGCTAAACAAATCATCCTTAGTTAGGAAATAGTTAGTTCAGAAATAGTAGGTTTCTGCTCACTGTTTAACATATTAAAACAGTGAACTGGAACAAAAAATAAAGTTATTGCATATTCATGCCATGATAAAATAAGAGAGAAAAATCAATCATGGGTCATTGAAATTTGCTGGAGTTTTAATTAATTTTAGTTAATAGATCTTGAAATTAAATAGAATATTTAATTTCAGGGTCAGTCTACAAAATAAAAAGAAAAGATAAATAGAAATTCCGTTGGTGAAAAAAACATTTCACTTGATATCTTGGAAGGAATATTTCTAACTAATAAAGGAGAATATTTGTAGCTCAGGATTGAAGCAAGTGGTCCTCCGTGCTCTTTGAGCTTGGTTGTTTTCTTGCAGTCATTTCATTACCCAAACTGGTAACATGAGTGCTGGCACCAGGAACCCCTGATATATTTCTAAGTTTGCAGTGTACTGAAACAATCCTTTCTTCAAAGCAGTACTTCCCAACTTCAACAGCTTTAAAGGTCTCTGAACATCAACTCCCAGAATATCCCCAGCCAGCATTCTTCTAGCATTCTCCCAGGATTCTGAGACTTGAAGTCTATCCATCTTGAAGTGGTCAAGGTTGACAGACATTATTCTACAGCCTAGAAACAGCTGATCTTTTGTTTCTATTAGGGCGAAGGTGGTTCTGCTGGACCTGCTGGACCTGCTGGAGCTCGTGGATCCCCTGTAAGTAGTAAAATAATGATTTTTTTTTTTAAATGACGTTAACATTTCTGGGAACCTCTGAAGTAGAAGAGCAGCTAAAGAAAGGTGTCCTTAACTTCCTTTGTTTTTTTCCTTACTGTAGGGTGAGCGTGGTGAAGCCGGACCTGCTGGGCCTCCTGGATTTGCTGGTCCTGCTGTACGTATAAAGAAACACTGTTTGCTTTCTCCAGTTTTCTACCTTCGGTTGTTTAATTAAATATCTCAACTTTAAATATCTCAACTTCGAATTTTAAATGTTTTGTTTCTGTCAGGGTGCAGCTGGTCAGACAGGTGTTAAAGGAGAAAGAGGACAGAGAGGTCCTAAAGGTGATGTAGGTCCCCAAGGTTCCATTGGTGCTGTCGGTAGTGCTGGTCCTGCTGTAAGTAAATGAAATCTTACATTACATTCTTTATTTTTCGGCTATATGACGTAATCTTGATATTTCATATTCACGTTCTTAAATCCACTGCTAAGATGCCAAATAGCACACTTATTAAGTAACCTCAAATCTAGATTAATTTATATGTGGCATATCAAGAATTTCTCCCAAAGAATTTTTTTATTATTATTTATATGCCGCCCTTCTCCGGAGACTCAGGGCAACTTACAATGCGTTAAGCAATAGCCTTCATACTTTTGTATATTTTATACAAAGTCAGCTTATTGCCCCCAGAAACCGGGTCCTCATTCCTCAAAGAATATCTATATATATTAGTGACTAAAAATGAAGATTTCCTACCTCAGAGGACATTCTCTCTCTCCCTCCCTCCCTCTTCCCCTCTCTCCCTCCTTCCCTCTCTCGCTCTCTCTCTCGCTCTCCCGCTCCCTCCCTCACTCTGTCTCTCTCTCCCTCTCTCTCCCTCCTTCCCTCTCTCGCTCTGTCTCTCTCCCTCCCTCCCTCTCTCGCTGTGTGTTTCTCTCCCTCTCTCCCTCTGCCTCTCTCCCCCCCTTCTCGCTGTGTCTCTCTCTCCCTCTCTCGCTGTGTCTCTCTCCCTCTCTCTCCTTCTCCGTCTCTCTCCCTCCCCCCTCTCGCTCTGTGTTTCTCTCCCTCTCTCCCTCCCTCCCTCCCTCTCTTGCTGTGTGTGTGTCTCTCTCTCTTTGTCCCTCTCTCTCTCACACACGCACACAACATAATTTGTAATGACTCACAGTGATTAACAACATTTTTCACTGCTGAAATAAATAACTGATTTTAATCAGGTAGGATGTACTGGTTCAAGTTCAAGAAGTTAAGATTCATACTATGAGCTATGATTACTCATAAATAATTACAAATTACCTTATTAATGAATTTTGGTAACCAGTCATGTAAACCAGAAGTGGGTTTCACATAATTTTATCACTGGATTGCCACACAGCAAAAATGTGAGCGCGTGCAGCTTGCACACATGCGCGTGGCTTGCACACATGCGCGCAGCTTAGAAAACATGACATAGTGCCGGGGTGGGTGGGCGGACCACCATTGGTGTAAACACTATTCCAAAGTTATAAACTTTTTTGTGACCTCTCCTGTCAATGTTATATTCTAAAAGGGTGGGGCACAGGATACCTCTAACACATAGCATCTGTTTTTGAGAAAGAGACCACTTCTACAAATCATCTGTTACTGTGACTTCATTATAGGATAGCTAAGTAGGCAGCCAAGATCCATATAATTCCTAGATGGTAACAAAAAAAATATGAAACATTTTGTTTCCTACTTGTAATAGTCCTAAGAGAATGACTAAGAGAAGTCATTGCTCCTATTGTCCTTCTCAATGAAATCGTTGTATTTCCTTAAGCCTGAAGACCATTGTGAAATAGGAGCAAATAAGCTACCATTGATTCTAAAGGAAAATAGGGTCATCATGAGGTACTTTATGAGTCTTATCTTAGATGTGCTTTCTTCCTATATACAGGGCCCTGTTGGTCAAGCCGGTCCTTCTGGAGGCCGTGGTGATAATGGTCCACCTGTAAGTCTGGAAACTTATCTTATTTATCCATTTCATTTATGTAGCTATTGATTACTATGAAACCTAATTTTTCTCTTGCTTTTTTAAAATAGGGTGCCAACGGTTTTCCTGGGAATGCTGGCAGACCTGGACCTCCTGGCCCTGCTGTAAGTAATTCCTGCAAAAATCCCTTTGTAATTCATACCAAGTAAGTTTTTGCTTTCTCTGTGCAGACCAATGTTTCTCAGCCTTAAAATCTTTGTATGAACTTAAAACTCCAAAAATTCGCTGTCCGGATATTACTTTGTTTCACCTTAGAATTTTTATCAAGCCGTTATAATATGAGAAGATTATCCATTATTTCCAATCCATTACTACCAGTTATTGTACCTAAATAGGTTGGGGCCATTTCATATCTTTATAGGCAAAGCAGAACCATACTGAAATTAAAGTCTCAGTATTGCTTGTGAGAAAACCACAAAAGCAGAATGCAAAAAGATCTAAATCTGGAGTATTTCTTTGCCGTTTTACTGTTATGCTGATTTTAATGCTCTATAGTTTCAGTCTCAAAATCACAGGAAAGTACTATCAGTTTTCACCCTTCACAATTGGTAGAACTACCTGTTTTCTCGAAAATAAGACCCTGTCTTATATTTTTTTGAACCGAAATAAGCTCTTGGTCTTATTTTTGAGGAGGCCTTATTATTTTGGGGCACGTGGAGCAAGACGGGGCTCCTCTTGCTGTCTTACCTGCTTTCCAGCTCTGTGTCCATAACTCTAACCAGAGGAAATGGTGGGGACCGGCTGCGCATGCGTTTAAATATTTTCAGGGAGGACTTATTTTCAGGGGGGCTTATTTTAGCACATGCGCTCAAAAGTCCGATTGGCTTATTATCAGAGGATATCTTATTTTAGGGGAAACAGGGTATTAAGGGTCAAAAAAAGGGGGGGCAGGGCCGGATTTAGATGAAAAGAGGCCCTAGGCTATTCCACTTATGAGGCCCTTTCACCTATAGTGAAAGTGTAATTTTAATTTTGCTAACAATTTGAATGTAGGCCCCTCTTGATCTTGAGGCCCTAGGCTGAAGCCTAGTTAGCCTATAGGAAAATCCGGCCCTGGGGGGTGGAGATGTGAATTGCTTATAAGCCTAGGGCTATAGATTGCCTGTGCCTCATGTAAAGTATATTTTGCCCTATTTTTTCAAAATCAGAAATACCTGGACAAATCAGTCCTAATCATAGCAATCTAATAACCGTAATGAGCAAAGAGTTCATATAGCCTGCATGCATTATTGACCAGGCTCAAATACTACGCCCTTTGAATTTATTTATTTAGCTTATGGCATGCCCTTTGAAATGTAGCTATGATGTAGTGCTATAACACAAGCAGATGACCTGGCATTTATGTAGATTTGCTTGACAATCTTACATATAATAATTTTGTGTCTTATTTCACATTTCCCATTAAGTCCAGCAGGAGTGGCCCATAATGAGGAACATTTGGAGTTGTAGATATAACAGGCCACATAACAATCAATCTAGATGACTAAAATTCTATCTCAGCAAATGCTATTTAACAGTGAGGTCAAGCTTTCTTTACATACTTGTTTGATTCTGTGCAGTTTACTAAAGCAATATTACATGAGATCCCATTAGTGTCTTTGTTCACTCTTTATTTGGATTAATAATTTGCTATCTCTTGACTGATGAAGCTGAGATGTCACTATGCAATTACATTATGATTTTATTCCTAGGGTATCACTGGTCCATCTGGCCCCCCTGGTCCTGCTGGCAAAGAGGGAATTCGAGGCCCACGTGGTGACACTGGCCCAATGGGTCGTTCTGGTGAAACTGGCATTGCTGGACCCCCTGGTTTCAGTGGAGAAAAAGGCCCATCAGGAGAAGCTGGTGCTGCTGTAAGTTGTCCAGAACACTTTTCAATACTCAAGGCAGCAAACACATCCAATACATTTCCTCCCCCTATTTTTTTCCACAAATAAAGTCAATAATCTCAAAAGTGAATATAAGGATGCCATAAGAATTTTTCCTTAATCCATAATGGTTGCCAGTTGCATCAGCTGCAGGTAGGCTTCACTACTCAGCAAGCAATGCTACTTGCAATGGCACCTTATTCCACTGGAATGGCAAAAAATAATTGATTCAGAGAATGCAGACCATATCATTTCATAATATTTTTCCCAGTGAAGTTGTTTAGCCAAGGGCACTTGCAAAATACATTTAAAAGAAATAAGGATGTTTAAAATAGCTGGTTCTGCCCCAGTGCCTAATTTTCCTTCTAATATGATAGTCATGACCTAGATTGACATACTATCCCTAGTACAAAATAAAGGCTGCTGATCGTAATTTGTGCCTTATCCTTCTCAAGATGGTCTATCAGCCAAATAGTTTTATTTTTCATAAAACTGGGCATAATATTGTATTTATAAATGAAGAACAATTATGAATGTATTAATTAATCAATCCATTCTATTTCTTCATGCACATACTTTCATAAATTCACATAGAAAATGGTTTTTAAGGCAATACAGAAAGTTTGTTTGTTTGTTGATGATGGCTGGATGCTAAAACGAGTCTAGTATTGAGATCAAAGAGAAAGAAAACTAATTTTTGCCCAGACAAAACTCTGCTAATCTGTTATACGTACTGAAAATGTTTTTTCTTTCTTGTTCCCCTTCTCTTCAGGGTGCTCCTGGGTCTTCAGGTCCTCAGGGTATTCTTGGAGCACCTGGTATCCTTGGTCTTCCTGGCTCTAGAGGAGAACGTGGTCTTCCAGGCTTGTCTGGAGCACTTGTGAGTACCATCTTTACCAAATTTGCAAATAGGAGACATAACAGAATAACAGAGTTGGAAGGGACTTTAGAGGTCTTCTAATCCAACCCTCTGCATATTTGATTGGATTAAATAGCAACTGCAAAAATTAACTGCTTATCATATTGACAGCTGACATTGCAACCCTAGCAAGTACACTGAAGTACAAATTGGTTTATGGACAGCATTAGTAGCAAAGACAGACCTAGGCAATAGAAGGAGTTGTTATAGATTTATGCAAATTAGCATATACGAGTGATTGGAAAGAGCAGCAAGGTATTTGGGTATAAATGAAAGCAGTGTATTTGATCGGATACAGCACATCATTAATCTAATGAATCAATGAGGCAATTAAATAGTTGGATGAGGAGCATAACTATGAGGTAATGGAGCAGAATTATAAAAACAGTGGTAGAGTTGAAATAGCAAATGTTTTCATAAATATGGCCTTCTTTCTAAACAGTTACTATCCCTGTCAAATTGTCCCTGGTTTGATATTTGCCTTCTGGTATCTTTTCCCCAAGTAGAAACATCTTGTTATGTTTCTTGTCTGTCTACTGGGAGAACTGATATGTATTGTGAGCACATGTTTTGTGATATTAGATTTCAGTGCAAGAATAAGATTTTAGGAGTAGCCTCTTGTTGATTGTGAAAGGGAAATAAGGTTTGGGAAATGCTCAGCAAATTAAAAGGTTCTGTCTTGTCTGAAAGCTATTATGCTTTGATGTTGATGGTGCAAGTTGTTGTTTATGCTGCTATATTTAGGATCAATAAAAAACCTCTCTTGTAGGTTTTTTACTTTGTGTTGTAATATATTGAATACAGTGAAATATCTCATGAGGATTAGTGCCGTTAACTAAATATTTAATACCAATTAATCCAATAACCAACAGATATAAAATGTACATAACATTTTGAAAGTTCATGTATAATAACTAAAAATAAAATATATTCCAATTATAATTGTTTTCCTAGGGTGAACATGGACCTGCTGGCATTTCTGGTCCCACAGGTGCCCGTGGCCCATCTGGTCCCATTGGTTCTTCTGGTGTAAATGGTGCCCCTGGTGAAGCTGGACGTGATGTAAGAAATTCTTTTTGGTCATAACTTTGGGGGGAAATTAAAGTAAAATACTAAATATGCAGCAGCATTTGATGTAGTAGCCAGTTATTGTATGATACAGCTGTTTCTCCCATACCGTCAGTTTTTAAAAGATTTATTCTCAGTTCAGTTATATGAGTTGGGATAAATAAATGAGGTTGAAGTCGTAAAGCATTTTTAGATTTTGTATTAAAAAATGATTGACAGACATGGAATTGCTTTAACAAAACAATGTATTTTAAATCAAAGCAGCAGAAAACTCAAAGACACATATCGGTACTTTTCAAATCAAACAATTAAGATTTGAAAGTTCTAACTAATTACCTTAACTATGATCTTTCTTAAAACTTCTGCAACCGTTAAAAGAAGTGACTATAAAGAAAACACATGAAGGATTGCAGCACATACCTTCTGTTATATAATTTTTTTCTAACCTGGTATGCCTTATATTGGTTGAACCAAAATCCATAATCCATAATCCCTTAGTCCTCGATTTACAACAATTCATTTGGTGACTATTCGAAGTTACAACCACACTGGAAAAAGTGACTTATGACCAGGGGTGAAATGCTCCCGGTTCGGACCGGATTGCCCGATCCGGTAGTGATGGCAGCGAATGGTTCGGAGAACCGGTAGCAAAAATCCCTGCACCCCCCCCAGCTGAGTCGCACGATCATCAGAGGCTTTTTTTTTTTTAACTTTTAAAAGCATTTTTTCTACAACCTCTTCCAAGGTTGCTTTTTTGCTTTTAAAAGCAAAAAAAAAAAAAAAAGCCTCTGATGATCGTGCAGCTCAGCTGGGATCATTAGAGGCTTTTCAAAGCATTCTTTTCTGCAACCTCTTGGCCGAAGAGGTGGTAAAAAAAATGCTTTGAAAAGTCTCTGATAATCCCAGCTGAGTTCCCTGGTCGGCAGAGAGGTATTTTTTAAAGAGCTTCTCTGATGATCCCAGCTGAGTTCCGTGATCGGCAGAGAGACTTTTCAAAGCATTAGAAAAAATGCTTTGAAAAGTTTTTTTAAAAAAAAAGTTAGCCACGCCCACCCAGTCCCATTACCCACCACCACCAAGCCACGCCCACAGAACCGGTAGTAACAAATTTTACATTTTACCCCTGCTTATGACCATTTCTAACACTTATGACCATTGTGGCATCTCCATGGTCACACAATTAAAATTCATACACTTGGCAATTGACTCATATTTATGCCAGTTGCAGTGTCCTTGGGATCATGTGATCCCCTTTTGTGACCTTCTGACAAGCAAAGTTAATGGGGAAACCAGATTCACTTAACAGCTATATTGCTAACGTAATAGCTGTAGTGATTCACTTAACAAATGTGGCAAGAACGGTAATAAAATGGGATAAAATTAACAATGTCTCACTTAGCAAAAGAAATTTGGAGCTCAATTGTGGTCATAACTCAAGAAGTACATGTATCATGGTTGAGGATTATGCAAGTTTCTTTTTCTAAAATATCACACTGCTCAATCATAGTTACTAAAAAACAAGTTACAGGATTCAGAAGATTCTTGTAGTATTTCAATACTTTATGTCTAACATTCAAGTTAGGAATTTGGAACAAAAAAGGGAAATTGTTTTACTGGCAGCAGAGACTATCAGTCCATTTAAAATTTCAGCTTATGCTATAGTTCAAGTATGGTAGGAAGAATAGTTGGTAATATAATTTTAAAAACACTACGTGTCGCTAAGAAGACATTTTTTTTCCTAGGGAAATCCAGGTAACGATGGTCCTCCTGGCCGCGATGGTGCCCCTGGTTACAAGGTAATTGTGGCTTTCTTCTGTAAGCAAAAGGTACTTCTTGCAAGCCAACTTTAGCTTGTACATCTAAGTCAAACCATTTTCTTGTTTGTTCTTGTTAGGGTGAACGTGGTGCTCCTGGCAACACCGGTCCTGCTGGTGCTCTTGGTGCTCCTGGTCCTCATGGCTCTGTTGGTCCTGTTGGCAAATCTGGAAATCGTGGTGAACGTGTATGTAACTTTAAACCATTGTGAAAACATCAAAACGCTTCTAATTGTGTCACATATATCAAGACCCTGTGCTAAAGAAGCTGGCACACCTTTTAAGATTTTGTGAAGACAGAAAGGCTAGGAACAAGAGCCACTTGCATTCCCCCCAAAATATGTTTTATTGGTATAAGATAATGTAACAAAATCTCAAACACCTATGGAAGCAATTCTCTTGCTCAGCTTAATACCTAGAGTAAATAAGGAACAATTGTCCTAAAGCGAGAAGTTCCGACCTTAGTAATTTTAAGACTTGTGGACTTTCAACTCCCAGAATTCTATGAGTTTAAGTCCACAAGTCTTAAAGTTGCCAGGCTTGGAGAACCCTGCCCTAAAGTTTATTTGCACGTTAGCATATAGTTCACCTGAACATAGTGGTCCCTGTCTCTTGCTTGGCTACAACCCTGTCAGAACTTTCTCGAGATAAGTTTTTTACTAGAAGGATTAATACTTTAAATTTTGAAGCCCCAACAATTCATGAAGAACTCCTGAAGTTCCATCAATTTATAGAGAGAGAGATAAATTTTGGCAGTGGTTTGCTTTCCAAGCTTGTTTCAATTTAGTTTCTGAACATTTAGTTACCAGTCTAAGTAACATCATCAGCGGGATTTTCTTATCCTATTCATCTTTGGCTTATGAATGTCTTGTAAAAAGAGAGATAAAAGATTGAGATGATACTTGGATTTAATCCATTTTCTATCCTATTCTTCTCATCATACTTCCAATGAAAGACATGTGTATCTGTAGTCTTACTTAACTGAAATATACAAAATTATTATGTTCACTTTTAAGATAGTTATATATCATTTGCTATGGCCCATAAGCAACATCTCCGCTGTGTTATCATTTCAGGGTCCTGCTGGAGTTACTGGCCCCAGTGGTCCTGCTGGTTCAAGAGGTCCTGCTGTGAGTATAATTTTAATTATTGGATAGTTGTTGGCTTTTTAAAAAAAAACTGTATGTATGTCTAGTATTTTTAAGAATGTACTCTTTTTTTGGACTGGAAATGAAGGCATAAATTTTGAAAATAATTCAGAAGGATGCCTAACTGATTAAGAAATGAATGAGTAAATAGAGAATGTGATATCCAGGCAAGGATATCCAAGCCATTTCACTGTCCAAGACAACATAGGAAACTCAATTGTATTCCAGAAGTCATATTGGCTGGCAGTTATATGCATATTTGCAATATGATAGTGTCCTCAGGTAGTTTACAGATTATGCATCATGTCTTCCCAATAAAAAAGAGATGTGACAGCAAGAATACCTGTTGGGCTTTTTAAACTTTCTTGCTGGGGTTACCTCACTTGGATTAAGGTGTAGAAAAAACCCAGGAGAGGGAAGAATAGTAGTTACTCCCTATAGGTGAAAAGAGTTAAGATTATAAAGGCGTAATAGTATCCTTGGAGACTTAATATAATAATCCTTTATCATACTCTGATTCGTACGGCCTGATGACACTTTGGAAGATGCTAAGATAAAGAAAGAAGCAAAGATCAAGCTTTATCTTTTTTTAATGCAAGATCACATACAGATAACCAGGGATGCAACTCAAAATAGAACAGGATCTATGCAAAATGTATAGAAAAATAATCCCCAAACCAAGGACTTGATTTCTTTCTGTTGGTGTAGAACATCTTTCACCAAGCTCCTGTTTCCAGAGTAGATTGCGTCCCAATTTCTATCCTCCATTTGGTAATGGGAAATGTAGTCCAGTACATGTAGATCAAGGCAAATTGAGGAAGAGTAATGTAATTATTAATAGTAGTTTGAACCAAGATATAAATAAAATAAGAAAAGAGGGAAATCAAACTAATGTTTGTGGAAATTTCCAAACTGAAAGAATCTACACGCATTTTAGTTCTTGGTTAATGGGATTGTTCTTGGACAAAGGTGGTGTATCTGAAACTTCTTCCAAGCTTTCTAGAGTAGAAAACTTCCATTTGTAATTTTTCTCTATTTATCACTCTATTTATTAGGGCGCACAAGGTATACGTGGTGAGAAAGGTGTTGCTGGTGACAAGGGTGCCAGAGGCTTGTCAGGTTTCAAAGGACATAATGGACTTCAGGGACTGCCTGGTATTGCTGTAAGTACAAGTATCCAAACTATGGCCTAAACAAAAACAAATCCACTATTTAGAACAGGTGTAGGTGCTCTGTGAGGAAGAAACAGGCATTCTCCTTCTCATCTGATAAAATTCCATTTTCTCATCCTTGATCTTTCAAATGGTCACCATTTTTAATGTCCACTGAAATCTTAGTTGTTTCTTCATTTTTGCTTTGTGTGAGGGCTTTAGTTTGCTTCTGCAAGTTTTTTTCCTCTTCCTAATCCAACACAAATTTTCCTATTCAAGCTTGCCATTTCAGTATGATACTGAAACACTGGTTTGTGTTCACATGCTTACAATAACATACAAGAATATTGTATATCAGGATATACAGGAATATCAAGGTGACTCACGGCTCAGTATAGTGAGTTAAAATTAAGCTATTAAGCTCCAGATCATTGGATCCATATAGATCAACAAGTTTATCCAAGATTCTTTGATTTTCTAAGAGCTTAGTGATGTATAGAGTCATAGGTGCTGTCAATTCAGTCAAGCCCACTGAGAAGCAAACTTCCCTATTAGAAATCCTGCTCCTGCCATCTTTTCATGATGAGGAAGGGAGAAGCTGTATATGTACACTGGTGTTCATATCTCAATGCTGAATTTCCCAGTTAAAACAATTCTTGGTCAAAATGATTCCTCCATTGTAATTTTTCCCCAATTTTGGAATCCATCAGTTATGAAAGGGACAAAAGTCTACAAGAAGATAGCAGGAAATTATAATTTCGCATCTTGTCTCGTATTAACAGGGTCATCATGGAGAACAAGGTTCCGCTGGTGTTACTGGTCCCGCCGGTCCAAGGGTAAGTTTATATGAATGTTCTTTGTGTGGAATATTGAAATGTACTTTTAGATCACCAGGTATGTTATCTCACATTCTTATTGTTTACTTGCATCAGAAACATACTGAGTGCTGGGTTTGTTCTTTGTTCCTGTTTTAGGGTCCTTCTGGTCCTTCTGGCCCTGCTGGAAAAGATGGTCGCAATGGTCTGCCTGGACCTGTTGGTCCTGCTGGTGTGCGAGGGTCTCATGGTAGCCAAGGACCATCTGTAAGTCTAAGTCTGAAGGATTGTTAATGTTACAAAAACTATTTTTTAAAAAAATGAACAGCAGATTACCCTGCATGGTTATTCCAAAGTTAAACTTCACTTCATTCATTAAACTTGACTCTCAGATAAACGTATATAAATTTGCAATCTCATTCCTTACATATGTCACTGGGACTAGGTTCCTTTGGCCATGCTGGGTTCCTGAATATATATGTTACTAGGTTCTTAGTATATTTCAGCTTCCAGAAGTTTAAGAGAGAATTTTAAGAATTGAAGCTCCAACACATCGGGAGGATACCAAGAAGGGGAAGATTGCTTTATGCCATAGGCATAAAGGTTGATTTCTAAATATGCTTAATTGAAGCATGAGAACAATGCTAGTGATATATGTCACTAGCTAGATAGCTGCCATTCCAAGTGTTTAAATCAGCATTTTAAATTAATGCTGTCACATAAGCATTAATTTAAGTGAAGGCTGCATTAAGTCGCATAATGCAGCCTTCACTGAAGACATTCTTCCTGTTTCTGCAAGTTGCCAAATAAAGAATTTACTCTCTGATTAGTAAACATTTCATTAATAATATATAGGTTCATTTCTGAACTCAGGCATGAATAGATGTATTGTTATAATTATTACTCATTCAATTTATATATCTTTCTAGCCAAAGCTTATAATCCTGATTATATTCAGATAGTCTTGAGATAGGACCTTATGCATGACCATGGTAAACTGAGTTTCAACAAGCTGATTTTATTTCTTCCAAATGTATGTTTTAGGGTCCACCAGGACCACCTGGTGTTCCTGGCCCACCTGGTCCCAATGGTGGTGGTTATGAAATTGGCTATGATGCAGAATACTATCGTGATCAGCCATCTCTTAGACCCAAGGATTATGAAGTTGATGCCACTCTGAAAACCCTGAACAATCAGATTGAGACCCTCCTGACCCCAGAAGGCTCCAAGAAGAATCCAGCTCGCACTTGCCGTGACTTAAAACTCAGCCACCCTGATTGGAACAATGGTATGTTAGTATCAAATAGTCAACATAAAATAACTGGTTGCATTCTTAATTTTTACAGTTATCACACAAATGATGTAACTTGCATACTCAAAAAGACATCATGATAGTCTTAGTTATCAAACTGTTTGAATCATGATGTAATGATGCATATGTTATTCAGACATTATCATAGCTTAATATAAATACCACTGGAATCAATAATGCAACTGGACATTCATTCAAAGGAATAAAACTCTACATATAATATTTTCAGTGGAAATCTGTTTAACCTAGTGTAGTCCATCCCTGGTACGAATAACACATATGTATGACTATTTCCCATTTCTTAAACAAGAACAAAATAACCATAAACTCACTCACTGAATGCATATAAAAAGCAGACATTTGGACACTTGAGTTTTTCCATCTGTATATTCAAATGTCTCTCATGAAAGTGGTGCTTTCCAATGTCACCGTGTGTCTGGCTTCCAGGGATTTCATTGGTAAACACATTTATTTAGCTCATCCAGAATAAGGTTTTTTTAATGCATTGTTTTCATATTTGTTATTTTTAAAGTAATGACTGTCTACTAAAATTTATAAAGTAGTTCTTTCTCCATAATCTAGATTATGTAGTTAGCCTGGATCTCCATAGTATCTCAAGTGCCAGTTTATAAACCTTTCAGGTTATTATATTTGAAAAAAAGATCAACATACTGTATTATATGTTTAAATTGTACAATTGTACAATTGTACAATTGTATATTATATTCAAGAAAATGTTAATCAACAGATCTATATTCTCAAGTTCCATCCTTATTTTTAGACATTGGTATTAATCGAATGTAAAGTTATAATCAGAGACAAATAACTAAGTGAATATTACATTACACTAGGATTTCAGAAGTTTTTTGTTTTATTTGTATCCATGCTATTCCAACAGTTGAAGCACATATGGATCTCTGATAGGTGCCTAAATCATTTTCTGTTTTTGTGATAGGTTTCTACTGGATTGATCCTAATCAAGGCTGCACAATGGATGCCATTAATGCATATTGCGATTTCTCCACTGGTGAGTCTTGTATCTCTGCTAATCCTGGAAGTTTCCCAGCCAAGACCTGGTATGTTGGCAAGAAACCTGATGAGAAGAGACTTGTTTGGTTTGGAGAAACCATCAATGGTGGTACCCAGGTAGGGTTTGTTCTGTATATCTTCTAATATATAGTAAATCATATTAGGAAATATTTTAACCAATACTTAATATTCTTTATGTTAAGTTAATCTACATATAACATGTAACTCATCTACTCGTTTGTTATCTTGCAGCTCCATTTTCCTCTCCTAAGAAACCTGTAGTTTACAAACAGCATTTTTCTGTTGATATTGCTTTCTCGTGAAAGTTACTGCCATACTGGCTACATAAGCAACAAAAGTTTAATAATCAAACACACACACATATATTCACACACAAAACAAATTACTAAAATAAATTATAATTACCTTAAGCAGACCTGTGCCTTCCCTGTGCCAGACTTTATGCCAAAAGCATCTGTTGGGGAATTTTGAGTCATAATCTAACAAGTGTAAAGTGCCAGATTAAGGAAAACTCATCTGTCTCTCAAATCTTGTTTAAAGCTGTCTAAACTAGTCAGTTACCAGAACTGTATGCTCCGATTGAATCCGTTAAACGCAGTTACATGTTTTGTGATGAGGTATATTGCTTTTACATCAATAAAAAAATAGCTTCAGGAAATATCACTTAAGTTCTGGAAGAAGATAGTTTCTCTTCATGTGCCATTCGTATTATTCAGAAATGCAAGGATTATCTCTTTGGAATGATTAGTAAAGTTATAACAAATAACCTATTTCTAGATAGGATAAAAGTTGAGTTCATTGGAACCTGGTTTCTGTCTAGCAGTTAATTACTTCCTAGACTAACCACTAGTTGTGATTATTTTTGGTTGTATAATTAAAATTATTTCTCCCCCCCCCCAATATTTTTACATTCACATTGCCATGCATGCCATTTAAGCACAGAGCATATTAAATGTTTATTTCCCTGATTTCATTTTTTTTCCAGTTTGAATATAATGAGGAAGGTGTGTCTACCAAGGACATGGCTACCCAACTTGCTTTCCTGAGGCTACTGGCTAACCATGCTTCCCAGAACATTACTTACCACTGCAAGAACAGCATTGCTTATATGGATGAGGAAACAGGCAACCTTAAGAAGGCTGTGGTGCTGCAGGGATCCAACGAAGTTGAATTCCGAGCTGAAGGCAATGGCCGGTTTACTTTCACTGTTCTTGAAGATGGCTGCTCTGTAAGTTCTATGTTACTTCCTGCTTGTAAATGTCTTTGATTATAATTTTATTGAGGGTCTTGATAGAAAAGTAGGTAAATTCAGCTTTTAATCACTGAAGACCACTTGGGTTCTGCCCCTCCCTTTGAGAACACAGCTCCAGAACATCAAGAATGGCTGGTGTGGCCCTCAAACCACTGGAAATGGAAAGGTCATCAGAGGAATGACAGAAGCCCAGGAATGAGACTATGAGGGGAGCAGTGAGAAGGGACATGATTGGGCTAGAGGTTGAGGTCTCCAGAAGAGTGAGTGTATGGAAACACAATTCAGTGCAAGGGATTATGTCATAGAAGCCTTTACTGATTTCTAATAACGGCAAATCAGTGAGTGCCTTAATAATGTTTTTAATGATTCACTATCATTATCTTGCAGAGAAAGACCAACGAATGGGGCAAAACAGTGATTGAATACAGAACAAACAAGCCTTCCCGTTTGCCCTTCCTTGACATTGCACCTTTGGACATTGGTGGCGCTGACCAAGAATTCCGTTTGGACGTTGGCCCCGTCTGTTTCAAATGAATGAACTAAAACTAACTTAAAAACAAAACAAAAAAAATTCTCTCTTTGTCATTTCTTTTTTATACTGAAAGCTGACTCCTTCCATTCTTCTGTTCATCTACTTGCTTAAACTTTTGGCGAAAAAGAAGGAAAAGGATTTTTTTGGGAACGTTGTGCAATGCAATTTAATACAGCCCCAAAAGGAATCAGAAGTTTTTCAAGATTTTGTCACCATGTTGTGGAAAATGTCAGCCTTTGTGTAAAAAAAAACAAAACCAAAAATATAAAAAAAAACCAAATAAAAAAATTCCTGAAAGTTTGCACCATTTGTGGCCTTTGAATATCTTCCACAGAGGAAGTTTAAAACCACAACTTCCAAAGGTTTGAACTACCTCATACACTTTTAAGCCAAGTGTGATCCACATCCTTATACATATGTTCTGAGGTGCTTTTGGACCCATTCATAGTAGAAAGGTGCTGATTCAATATTACAGAGTATATTACAATACTTGAAATTTAATGGTGCTAGTCATTTGGGGAAATAAAACAAAACAAAACAATCAATCCCTGCCTTTCTGTATTAAGTTGTATTGTTTATTTGCAAACTGTCTGAGAATAACTTCAGAATGCCCCATCTCACCATCAGGTTAAGCATGTGGATCATATCTTCCCACACCCCATCTTCATCTTCTTCTTCAACATCAAATGTCCATGCTTTTAAATCTCATTTTCTTCCTCTACAATGGGCCAAAAAGGAATCATCATTTCTCAACAACAAAAAATTGTACCTATTTTGTATATGTGAGATGTTTAAATAAATTGTGAAAAATTGAAATAAAGCATGTCCAGTGTTCCAAAAGAAACCACTGATGAGTATAGTTCCTTGCTTTAGTATATCTATTGATATTCTGCACTTAATATTTACTTTCTAACTCTTTTTAACTTTAAAAGTAGTGAGATTTGCCTTTGCTCCTAGTGTATATGACTGTATTTCCCACTATATTTTGGGTTTTCTTATAAGCAAAAACTACAGGAAAATAAATCTTTCCTGTTTAAATCCATCCAAACATAGATGAATGAAACAAAATATTTTTTTTACTTTAACAAAGGATTTGTTATCAGAGATCCACATTGGAATGCACTTTAGAACACAAGTATAAAATTTATTTATTTATTTATTTATTTATTTATTTATTTATTTATTTATTTATTTATTTATTTATTTATTTATTTATTTTAAACTAATTTATATGGCCACTCAGGTTACTCTGGATGGCTTACCATATTAAAATCCAACATAAAAATCGTAGTTCCATGCATTAAAAGTTTCCTACCGATGGAAAGCTTAATATAATAATACACTTGTAATATTATATTCTTAATATGTTAACTTCCTAGGTAAAAGCACCTGTTAAAAACACCCATAACACTGAAGTGACACAATCTAAGACTCCTAAGACATTTATACCTTACCATTTTTCGGAATGCATTAATTCTCAGGTCTCACAGAATTGTTTCAAAATAAGAGTGGATTTGTTTTCAGATGCATTATTTCATTGTTAGGTTTAACTAGAGAACTATCTTGCAAATGAGTCAATTGGGAACATTATAACACAATCACACCTTTACTAATCCTGATAAAGCTAAGCAAGGACAGCCTGGATAGGAGACCAAGAGGATATTCCGAAACTAGACTATATACTAGACTGAAAAATAAAATCAAAATATTTGATGGGGTAATAGACATCCATTTCCATAGTCCCAGAAGAGAACAGGAGTTAACTCAAATGTTGGAATGCAGGATCTACATACTATCTTGCAAATGAATCTATCTGGAAACATAACACAATCACACCTTTACTAATCTTGATAAAGCTAAGCAAGGACAGACTGAATAGGAGACCAAGAGGATATTCTGAAACTAGACTATATACTAGACTGAAAAACAAAAGCAAAATCTTTGATAGGGTAATGGACATCCATTTCCATAATCCTAGAAGAAAACAGTGTCCTTATAGCCCCCAGGAGTTAAACTCAATTTTTGGAATGCAGGATCTGCATACTGATATTAAAGAAGTTTTATGTTTTATTTAAAAGTTCAGGCACATCAGCAAGCTGTCAATTTTACTTAATTCCATAGAGATTAGCAATAGCATTTAGACTTATATATAATTCCATAGTTCTTTACAGCATTCTCTGGGTAGTTTACAATGTCAGCATATTGCCTCCAACAATCTGGCCCTCATTTTACCAACCTCAGAAGGATGGAAGGTTGAGTCAACCTAGAGCCAGTCAGGGTCGAATTTCTGGCAGTGGGCAGAGTTAGCTTGGAATGCTGCATTCTAATCACTGGGTCAGCATGGTTCTTAACCCTACATTTTCATATACCTACAAATAAATGAAACTGAAGCAAAATGGTCTGGCATGTGTAGAAAGACAGCACTCACACAGTCTCCTAGAGAATGAAATGTTTTGGGGAATATTAAAAAGGCAGGATAGAATATTTCCCCTAAAGGAGAAATGAGAAGAAAAATCTTAAGGGAGGCAGAACCTAGTCTGTCTCCTTGCTCCAAGCAGAAACTGAAGAGGCCAGCTTTTAGAAATGCAGATTGGCTAATCACTTCAGAAAGACTGGGTCAGACAGAAACTTCAGATAAGCAATAAGCCAAAGGTTGACAAGATTAGCTCAAACAAATACCTAGAATTTGTATTTCCCCTTTTGTCTATAGAGCCAGCTATGACACTTACATGATCCCCCTAGGGATCCAGAAGGTATAAAAGCCACACACTCCCAACTCCATTTTGTCAGCTGTCCCAGAACTTTATGCTGTGTTTGTTGATTCTGTTCACCAATAAATAGAATCTTTCTTTCCAATCAACCTCCATTTTATTCCCAGCTTGGAACTGGAACTGGATTTTTCTTACAACACATGCAGCATACTATCATCTCTTGAGCAGATACAATTAAAATAAACACACTTTTAAAAAAAATCATCTTGAAGTAGTCCATGTGCCTAGAAGAGATGTCATGTCATTAAGAATATTATCATGATGGCTTGTCTACATTTACATTGTGGACAATGCACAATCTCTATGGAAAGCACAACATACAATCAATGGATGGAGAACAAATCTGTCCTGAACCATTGTCTTCTGCTTGGAAAAATATCAGAGAAATAATACATTTAGAAAAAAATAAAGAGCAGTTTACTTTTCATCAAGACTTTAAGTCCTTTAACTATTATACCTATAATACAATGTTAAAGATACTTACATCTGAAAAGAAATTTGATAATTTTTGATCATTAGATGTTGTCTTTAAGTAAGATAATTGTGAACAGATAGGATATCTATTTCCATTTCTATTTTCAGTTTTCAGACCAAAACATTACTTATTTAGCCAAACACTTAATCCAGAAATTAAGGGACAATGAAATAAATTACCCCATAAATATCAGGCTAAGAAAATTCCCAAACTGCAGACATACAAAAAGAGAGGGCAGGGAGAGAAAAAAGAAATGGAATCTCTAAAAGACTACCCAGGAAGGCATTGAGGATAATATTGACTGGGGGGGTGGGGGAGAGAGAAGAGGGAAGGATGAATTAAATGGATTTGCTTGGAGTTCTAAAAATATTATTCACAAAAATGAACTCTCTGTTCTCTATCCTCAACAGTGCAATTTTAGAAATCATTGACGGCCTGGCGGCAACACACAAACTGGGTATAATTGCAATCTCCTTTTTGTAATCCCATAGAGTTCTTCCTAAAGGCATGCCATGGAACAACATGATTTTTATTTTAAAAGAAAAAAAGCAATAAAAAGTATCTATTGAGCCTTCAATAAGCTAAGTGCTTCTATTTTATCCTTCAAAAATATTCTTAGAAGTTGCAAAAAAGGAGAGAGAGAAAAAGTATAAGGCCACCTCCCTCCAGGGACATCAACTCATCAATATTATGATTCTAATAACATTTTTTAAATATTGGGAAATTTGTATCTATATTGGTCTGTCTGTAGCATCTAGCTGATGTTGCTAGGCTCAAGACCCAATTAGTAAGCTAATCCCTGGGTTACAAGTGTTCATTTAGCGCCCATTCGAAGTTATAGAATAAAGAGCCCCCCTAGGGTTTATGAACAAGTTCCAAAATTATGAATGTTGCAGCACCACAACAGTTGTTTGTCCTTACGAATGACTGGAGGTCTGCAACATTCCCCCTACCCCCGCTCCCCACAACTGCTTCCCCCTCCCATCCTGCCCTGCGCCAGAATCATTTACCTTACAAGATCTGTCTCCTCTCTGCAGCGGTTTCTTTGCTTTTGAGGGAGAGGAGAGTTGATAAAAACTCCTGGGTGGCATAATATCGCACGAATTCAGGCAGCCATCCTCTTTTGCAGAGACTGAGTGCCTGAACTCTCGCAAGATCACTGATCCCAGAAACTTATATTCTCAGCAAAAAGTGTTTGTGGTGCCTGTCACCTGCTCCTACCACCCAACTCCTTCCCACCATCACTGGGACACTTTCCGGAGAGACCTGATGGGGACTGGAAGCTTCATGAAGAATTCGCTCTGTTTTGAAATGCCCCATAGACGCCTATGGGGCCTTTGAAAATGGAGCAAATCCCTCTGTTTTCAAAGGCCTCATTTGCATGCAGATGAAGCATCCAGGCTCCATCAGGTCTCTGTCTTTGAGCGAAAAGTGTCCCGGTGGTGGTGGAAAGGAGTTGGGGGAGGAGGGAAGGAGTAGGAGACAGGTGCCACAAACACTTTTCACGCCCAAGAGCTTCCATCAACTCTTCTCTCCCTCAAAATGAAAGAAACTGCAGCAGAGAGGAGACAGATCTTGGCAAGGTAAATCAGTTATTCTGACTGGTGCACCACACCAGGGAGTGGGAAACATGAGGTATCTTAGTGGGTTGGGAAGGCCTTTGGGCCTGTTCCATCATTAGCAACCTCATGACACATGAGGTATCTTACCCTGAGATACCTCATATGCACTTAACAAACCCACATTCGCCCACACATTAAATTAGCAATTAAATTAGTGAATGTGTGGTCAAAAGCAGGGAGTGATCTTATTCAAAGTACAAGATTCACTCCCACCAATCCTTGAGGTACGAATGGAATGGGCATTACATTCGTAACTTGAGGGTTACCTGAACTTGGATAATAGAAATTGTCAGGAAATTAGAGGGCTATAGACTAGAGCGGGGGAGGGGGGAATAATATAGAAAAAAGGAATGGAAATCCACTTCCATCTTACACAGCATTTAGGACAAGAGGTTTGCTCAGCCTGAGAACTTTATCTTTTTATCTTGTAAGTGTGTTTATAGATATTCCCTTGCAGTTCAACTAAGTAAAGGGCAATGACTATAGCATGGTATGTGTTTAATTCCTCTGCATAGTTTCAACACACTTAGTTAAATTCTTTGTTAGGTAAATGGTATGCATCAAACAAACTATTAAAGAGGGAGGGGGAGGGAGAAACTAAACTTTCTTAGATCTAATGCATGGATCCGGAGTGCCACCTGTTGTCTCAGAAAGAAATTACAGAACTACAGAAATTCGGGGATCAGACTTTTATATACTATACATACAACTCTAAATGACTATAATACATAGATATTAAAGAGCTTGGAGACACATTCTGGACTTCATTGGTTAAAAATATTCTAAAGAATTATCTGGGTATCAAGTCAATACACGAGCAATAACTTTACTTTTCCTGTTCAGTAATTCATGCACAATGTTCTCTCATTTATAATTCAGGATTCCAAGGGAATGATAAATAAAATAGAAGGAAACTGTTCTGTATACAAAGCAGTTTTACATACCCAAGGCCGCAAGCCAAGGAACACCACTTCTA